ACAGGGTCCCCGGATAAGCGCACCTAAAACAAGCTTTTTGAAGTGACAGATGTAGAGCGAATTTGTAGTACTTCACCAGAGTCTTGAATACGGGTCTCGGATAGACAGCAGACAACGATATGAAGACTTTCCAAAGACATAGCCAGCCCTATCTGTTGTCCGACCTGCATAAGTTTGCGAACGTTGAAGCCAGCCAGTTTGAATGATGCACGTGGTTTCAGAAAAAACTGCTTCAGTTCTCGTATTCGGTGGTAACGTACAATTTTCAACCGGACAGTGACTCGAGAACGTTTAGATATAGTCGAATTTCCACCAAAGACGAGCCGCTGTATAAGTATAAAAGAGGGTGAATAATGTGGAAAATAATAATAATAATAATGACAATAATAATAATCATAGTATTAATAATGACAATAATTGTAATGATAATAATTCAAATCAATTGATTGTTTTTCGAAGCGAGAAAGTAATTTCCATAGGCATAGAGAGTTCATAATTTGTGTGTGGGCTGTGATACTGCCCGGGTGCTCAAACCGAAGCAGGTGGTTATCTTAGGGGGCCACTCCCCGAGCGCCGGACATTCGCTTTTCGTCCTCTCATTTTCGTAAACAACACCCCCGTCACGAGAAGGCAATGAGTAGGACTTCCCTGGCAGAGGATATATACGCGCGGCCGTGTGAGAGTATTTCGAGAGGGAGAGCGAACTCCCCCCACTCTCGGCCGTACCAGAGCATTCGGGTGGCACGTCGTAGTAATTTTTGTTCAGGCATACGCAACGCGTGACCAAATCATCTCAGTCGATGAAGATGCATAACCTCATCAACTGATTCACCATCATTCCCTAATACCCTGCGTCTAACTTCACTATTACTATTACTTCACTATTACGAATATCTTCTACTCTTAATGGCCATATTTCGCAGCTGTAAATTAGAAAAGAACAAATTGCCTTGCAGTATATTCGTCTCTTAATTGATAGACGGATATCTCGCCTTTTCCATAGGTGACGTAAGTTGGCAAAAGCCAAACGAGCTTTTCGAATCCGTGCTGAGATTTCGTCAGACACCAACCCATTAGGGCTGACCAGACTCCCTAGATAGGTGAAGTTTTCAACGCGTTCGACTACTTCACTCCCTATCCTTAGTACAGGTGTTAACGCAGACCAGTCCTGAAGCAACAACTTGCATTTAGAGGGAGAGAAGCGCATTCCAAACATTCTGGCACTGTTACTTAGTGCTACTAAAAGACTCTGCATTTTATCAGCGTCTACACTAAACAGGACTATGTCATCTGTGTATTGTAAGTCGATAAGTGGACCTCCTGGAAGGAGATCAACGCCCGAAAATTCAGTCGATGAGAGCGTTATTTCCATCAGTAGGTCTATGATGAAGTTAAACAAAAATGGAGAAAGTGGACAGCCTTGATGGAGACCACTTGAGGTTGCAAAAGCAGATGACAGTTCGCCATAAGCTCTGACTCGACTGGTAGTGTCCGAGTAAAGAGCCTTCACAAGGTTTATGTACTTCTGAGGTACTCCTTTCAATGATAGACACTGCCACAGAATCTCGTGGTCTACTGAGTGGGTGATTGCAGACGTCATCTGAACCGCTCCTTAAAGTGTTCCGCCCATCATTCGAAACTTCTGGGCTGAGAGCGGATAAGTTTCGTGTTTCACTCACACTTGATTTCTTAATTCCAGTTTATTTTATTAGTTTGAAAAGCTATCTGGTGTTACCTACAGTCGCTGACTTTTCCACCTCTTTTGCTTTGGTTGCCCACCACTGCTCACAGTCGTTCCGTAGACTTTTGTTTAATCTATGTCTGATCTGTTTTTGCTCGTCATCGTGTTCGGAGCCAGATGGGGCGTGTTTACGCGAATCTGTCACTGCGATAGACTTAGTAGTAATCCATTGGTTTTTCGTAACTCTTTGATTCAAACCACTAATAGATGTCACTGCTGTTTCCACATCTTTTCATATATCTTTCTAAGCAACATCTGTGTCAGCCTCGTTTTCAGAACTACCTATGTTTGACCTCAGTAGTTTATGGAATCTAATTTTGTCTTTCTTATCACTGAGTTCAACTCTGATAGGTCCTCTTAATGTGGTTCTTCTGCGTCAAGTGAAGCGCAAGCAAATGCGTTCTCGTATTGGAGTATGATTGGATTTTAACCATGTACTCCAGATCGAGCGACAATCGTCTGTCGAGCCTCTCCGACGATGACTTATGGCAATATGGTCTATTTGAGTCCATCGTTGATTTGGTGCAGTGGATCGCTATGTTAGATGATGTCTCCCCTTATGCCTAAATTTTGTGTTTGCTAAAAATAAACGACTGTCTGAGGACAGTTGCAGTGGACGGTCACCGTTACCTGTTCGCTGAGACGAAGTACTAAAATACCCACCTAAGTGTTTTTCTGTTTGTCTCAAACTACCTACCTGGGCATGAAAGTCACCTGCTACGAGTGCTACGTCTGAGTGTTTAGCTTTTTGAAGACGTTCAAAAAGCTCCCTGTGAAGATCATCTTTCACTTCATTTAGGCTGCAGTCAGTGGGAGCGTGGGCAGAGACGATGAGGAGGCAACGATGTGTGTCCTTATCCTTCCGAGTTCTTACGGAGCCGTTTAGCCGAACAGCATATAGACAACTGTTAACAGGGATTCATTCTAAAAGTACTTGTTCTGCCCTCGTATTTAGTGCTACGACTACAACCCCAACTTTCCTTTGTGGGAAGGCAGCATTTCTGTTACATTGATTGTCTGAAGGATAAACCTTACTGCCATCACACCTCTGTACAGCCAGCAGTACGACTCCGCCCTCGGACCTTGGATTTGCTGCTTTTAATCTTCTCGCTCTTCAACCGACCTGTCTGGCATGGTAGGACCTTGAGAAACTATTGTTCCAGTAAGTATAGGCCGATTGGTTTCTTGCGATAGACAAGCGCAACCATCAATTCAAGGTAACAGCAACGGTCGGGAATCCTTTCGGTAACTACCTTTCTTATCTATTTTTAGAAATTCTTGTGGTAAATTGTGAATTTTATTGTCTGTCAAATTGAGAGTGAGATAGAAATTTACCAATAATGTACAATGAGGATTATAAGATATCTTAAACAGAATTGTGATGGAAATGCTAGCCATTGGATTTCAATGCATCTGCTTATTGTCGTTGTGTTCAACTTAAAAGTTGAAGAACATGATTTCATTCTTGTGTTAGTTTCTTCATGCTAACTTCTAACAAATAGCTATGAAATCGCTGTTCACATCTTGGTTTCCAGTGTCAGTTCATTGTGAAGATGACTTAAATACTTACTGATAGGCTTTTTTTAATGTTGAAACCTTTTCTTTCATTCTATCACATCGTATATGTGTTACCAATAACTGCATTGCTGATTCAAAAGTCACTAAAGAAATTCGTTGATCATTAAGGAAAAGATTAGAGACAATTATGCAGAGAGAATTTTGTTTTCGGAAATGTCGTTTGCTGAAGCTGTTTAATCAAGGTTATAGTTCGAAAATATTTAAGCCCATTAAAAAATAGAGAGTAAATCACCAAGTGTCCGGATATTTCAAGTATCACAACATGGCTGCCTATTGGTCTACAGGTTGTGGGAAAAGTAATGAGATGGAAATAACTTACGGAGCAGAAATGTAAGGAATGATTGTCTACTGGACAGATATGAAGAATACATAAAAAAACGTGAATGTGATAATAACAGCTGAATAATTTTTAAAGATCAGAAGAAGGTAAGGACAGAGGGTTAACTACTAAAGAAATCAAATCAGGATAGGTTCTAGTACCGTGGAAGTATGAGAGATTGTACTGATAGTTTAAGCTTAAACTGTTGAATCACTAATGACTCTACAATGCTCAAGCTTTTAATTCGTGCTTCTTTTGAGTCAATTCATTCGACTATGTTGATAGTGTACAATGAATAATATTTAAGTGTAGAAACATTACTAGCATTTTTTCAATTGTTTTGAGTTCAAAAACAATATGATATTTGTTCGCTCACCACTAATGGTAACCAGTTATCGAAATTCGGGAATACTACGATATTAATGTCACTCTATCACATACGACTAGAAAGCATATGTATATGTTATTTTCTTATTCAATATTACCAGTGTCCATATACATATCAACAAAATGATGAGCGAGGAGGGTAAGAACCAACAACAGAAAGAAACTAAAACACGACATGTGATATCACTGTCTTATTATTTACCCGTTCATTCATCCATTGATTTCGTTTACTGGAGATTTTAATCTGATCAATTTTTTCTCCATATCTTTGTTTTCCATCTTTAGTTGTTGCTACAATCTCTGTTACCTCTTCAATGTTCCAATAATGTAATTATATTTTATCAGGATAAAAAGGGAGAAATGATATTTTAGTTTGTTTATGCAAATTATTCAAACAATCCCTAATTTTAAGGTGTTTCATTTTTCTCTCTCTCTAGTTTTATGTTTACAACTAACTGTCTTGTTAAATTAAACAAATCACTATGAATGGAATAATTGTATTATGAGAGGTGTAACATTTTTGAGAGCATAATATTGGATTTTTTGTATGTGACTTTTTAGAAAGTTAAGTTTTTTGCATATATTGTTTAATTTGATGGCAGTTTTAATGACAGAGTCAACTCTGATGGGAACTGTATGAAAGCAAAAAACTCTTGAATTCTCCTTTGTCTCAACGTGTAACCTAAAGTGCTTCGTACCTGGGGATTGAACCAAATGCTTTTAGGTCTTGTTGCAAACATGAAATATTCAGACCGCCAGGTTGGTATCAAATGGTCCAGATTTCTAGTGTCAATCGAATCATTATATAGCTTGATAATCATCCAATGCCGTTGGTGGATGGATTAAACCCAATCTATAATAACTTCTTACCAGAATTTCGGTAAACTCTTATCTATGCTGGTTAGATATTTTTATATAAATCCTTTAAATGTGGTTGGGAAACGAAGTGAGTTATATCGTGCTCTACTTTTTCAGATTTGGTGACAGAATATTATCAGTCAATGGTATTAGTCTTATTGGCGCTACACATAATGAAGCAGTTAAAGCTTTGCAGCTGGCTGGTTCCAAACTAAAATTGGTACGTTCTAATTTAGTGTTTTTTCCGAGTTTAGTCAGACGAAAATATTTGGTAATCTGTTATGAATGACCAACCATTTAAAAAAAAACAGATTAAACTAATATGTCACTGATTGGTAACTTATATCCTATTGTCAAATCCCTTCAATCATGTTTACAAACTAGTCTCTAGACTAAGTAAGTTCACACCATAGCGCATAGTATTAGATTTTAGACGGTTAAAAGCAATCAGTAGGAGCATTTTTGTCTTCGATTATCCAATATCAAAGAGAACAGATAATTCGTGGGATCAAATGGATGTACGTAACTTTTGCTGGAATAGGTCATATATGGTTAGTAGACACTTAACTCCAGAGTTTGTAAATCTTATGTCTATAGGATAAACGTAAACTGTGGTTTCAGACCTGACATACCATAGCTCAAAATCTAATTTATTCATGCAGAATTGTTCGTTTTCTCTTTTCCGAATGTTCAGCATAATATTTTTTTCAGTCTTTTCAACCTCCAGTTTTATGCGATCTGTTTGGATTTTGTTCTTCATATTTGGTTTACTCTTCTTTTAATAATATTATTTTGACTGTTGTGCTTTCCCTCACTCTAAATCCTTTTCTTCATGCAGATAATATGTCATAACTTCGGTAGGCATGTACATATGCTATGTCTTACCTTTTTGTCCAACCAAATGGGTATGATTTTAGTTAAGTTGACAAATAACTTTTGATTACTATCAATATGGTTCAATAACATAGTCACCTATTCCTAATAAGGGGAGACGAGCTATACTGACATATTTATAGTAATAATGGTGTAGATAAGACAATAGGCATAAAGAAGTTATATTTATTGCAGTAAGTTACAAAGTATTTACACATACACATACATAGCCTTCAGTCATCCATCTGCATATTTTGGTGTGCTTTGTGATAGAAGTGTTTTCTCATCTGGTCTCCAAGTGTTCTGCCATCACCGTGCCTTCGATGCACTGAAACTCATCACTCCTTTGCAACTTCGATGTCACGTTCCACTGCACACTTAATACAAATTTCCTTGTGAGTAGCGTCCATTACAACAGTACTGGATGTTAGAATTATTAAAATAATTTGATCTAATATAAAACAAATATTTCAACATTTGAAGTGAATTATGGCCTGAGAAACGTTATTAAAAAGTAATTCAATAAAATTCATGTCATAAAATGGCTGATATCATGTAAATAAGCGTAGTGAAATTCCACAATCATTGATGAAATGAAAAGAATATGGCGATCAGTAAATTTTCTCACGCCATTCATCGTAATTAATAAATAAATAGTGATGTTACAGGCCTTTCACGTTCAGAAAAACAAGAGGTATTAGCATAAATCCTTATGACTAATGGTTCATGTAAGAAATGAGATCAAATTATGTTTGATAAATCTATTGGGATGGAGTGAATAGTTATCAACATTCTCGTTTCTAATGTATTCCACTTTCAATATTTTACTTTTATTACTTTTTTCTCGGGTCAAACATATTGTTATTTTCACATCTAGCCATTAATTTCACTCTTATATATATCCAGATGTGCATTCTCCTATCATTTCTTCTCCCGTGTTACTCTTCACTGGTAGGCTATCATTATTTCTATATTCCTCTTTCCTTCCATCTCCCATTCTTTGTTATTTTACATCAAGCTAGATATTTTGTGCTTTTTTGATTTTAGTTCAACCTATTAAAGTCAGTAAGCAACCTTGCCTGAGGTAAAGACCGGTGTCAGGCAAGGTTGCTTACTCCTACCCTTTCTCTTTCTCCTGGTGATAGACTGCATCATGAAGACGTCAACATGTGAAGGGAAACGCGGGATACAGTGGACATCTAGAGTGCATTTAGACGATCTAGACTTCGCAGATGATCTGGCCCTTCTATCTCAATCGCAACAACAAATGCAGGAGAAAACGACCAGTGTAGCAGCAGCCTCAGCAGCAGTAGGTCTCAATATACACAAAGGGAAAACCAAGATTCTCCGATGCAACACAACACGCACCAATCCAATCACAATTGACGGAGAAGATTTGGAAGATGTAAAAACCTTTACATATTTGGCCAGTATCATTGATGAACACGGTGGATCTGATGCAGATGTGAAGGCGCGGATCGGCAAAGCAAGAGCAGCATATTTACAACTGAAGAACATCTGGAACTCAAAGCAACTGTCAACCAACATCAAGGTCAGGATTTCCAATACAAATGTCAAGACAGTTCTACTGTATAGGGCATAAACCTGGAGAACTACGAAAGCCATCATCCAGAAGATACAAGTGTTTATTAATAGCTGTTTACGCAAGATATTTCAGATCCTTTGATCGGACACTATCAGCAACAACCGACTTTGGGAGTGAACAAACCAGATCTTAGCGGAGGAAGAAATTAGGAAGAAGCGCTGGAAGTGGATAGGACACACATTGAGGAAAGCACCTAACTGCGGTACAAGACAAGCCCTCACATAGAATCCTGAAGGTCAAAGGAAAAGAGGAAGACCAAAGAACACATTATGCCGGGAAATGGAGATAGACATGAGAAAAATGAACAAGAATTGGATAGAATTAGAAAGGAAGGCCCAGGACAGAGTGGGTTGGAGAATGCTGGTGGGCGGCCTATGCTCCATTAGGAGTAACAGGCATAAGTAAGTAAGTAAGTAAGTCTTAGAGTCAGTAGTAAAATAACACTATATACATTTAGCTGTTAATGTTAGAAAACTCTTCTGTTGTTTTCTCCTCTCATGGTTTTTCTAATGGATTGTTTTCGGTCTGACACAGTGCATTGGTTGAATTTTCATTAAATTAGAAATTGATCGTTAGTATAATCTATTGTGACTTATATCTCCCTATACGCTAAACTATTATTCTTTCTTATTAATTCATTCTGACTTTGGAATTAGTTCTGTCACTGTTTTCTAAATAAATAATGTTTTGTATCAGTATTAGGGCTGACAATACTAATAATAATTGTTGTAATATCATTATTAATACCAATAGTAATAATAATAATAATATCGAAACTAATCATAGAAAGTGATGTGAGATAAATAAATTACTTATTTTTGTTTCCCTTCCCTTAACACATATTTATTCATTACGTTTTTCTACTTATCATTGTTTTTTTATCATCACAATATGACTGAGTGAGCAAAACAAATAGAAATTCAAACCATCTCTATAAATCAAAGATAAATAACATCTTTGAAAATAGTGGTTATTTGGTTAGTTTATTTCCGAAACAAAAATATTCAACCGTATGATGATCGACAAAATACTTTCTATAAAAACCCATTATGGTTTCAACCTGATTAGCTTAATGTTTTAGCTATACTATTATTCAATTATCAGAAGTTTTATTTTCAAATGTTTAAGTTGAAATTTGATTGATTAAGAAATATTGCTTTTCGAAACAGATACAATAACTGTGAAAATAAGTAAAAACAGTATTCGACTACTTTATTGTCATGACACAATTACATGAATCTTATTTCGATAATTCGTAATCATACTGAACTGAACAGTTATTATTTGGGTAAGTACAAACAAGTTACTATTCGTATTGGGTTTATGAGTTTTGTTTAATATAACAACCATAATAATAGTAAGTATGCGATAGACAAACTAGCATCAACAGTCTTATATTATTTTCAACTTGATGTGAATTTAGAAAAATTCTACAACCTATACACTTTAATATACATAACCAATGGTTTTACCATACAAAGGATGTTTTCAAGTTACTGTTGCGTATTCGACTCTTGTATTTCTATTAATCCACTATTTAAGGCTGTAATTATTCCTAAATATGTGAAAAAGAATAAAATCCTATGTTTAATCCAGTGTGATTTTGTGAGTGTGCACTGTTGAGGAATCACAAGTCAACGAACAAGAACTGTATACATATTTTTGAGTTTTACTAGTTATTCTGTCGGTGTCAGCTCGTCATAAAACTTACCTCAATTGATAGAAAATAACAAAAAAACCGATGTTATGTGAAACATTATTCTTGACATAATTATCAAGAAACTTTCAACAGTTTCATTCATATGAATTCTTTATTCGATTAATTAGAGCATTACTTTCATAAATAATCAATTTATGTCTTGTGAAAAAATGTTTCAAGTTTCTACAGTTAGTGAATAGCTTTTATATTAAATATACACAGTATCGTAGGATTAGTGAATAAAAATATGGTTTTTAGTAAAAATGAATAGAATGCCTTTCAACAGTGAACTTATATGACAGAATGAGAGCATGATATCTTTAACTAAAAAGTGCGTAATTTGAAAAATTCTTAATTTTTATATTATTATTATTGTTCGAACATGTAAACAGTGTAGAATAATCATATAATATCATTTATGATGAAATTCTCAATGAATATCTGTATGAAAATAACAAGAATAAACTAAGTTGATGGTACAACCGTTGTATCACTTAAATCAGTGGTCATTTATAAAGCATAAGTTCAATATCATCTAACACAATAATTATGTTACCACAAATAGACTGATTGTGTCCTGATACAAACCGTTACAATAACTGAATGTAGTTAGTTAGGTGTTAGTTGGTCGTAAAGTGGTGGGGAATTTATGTCAAATTTCATTTTGATAATTTATTAAGCACTAAACACATTTGTGCAATAAAATGATATAACCATACTATCATTCTTAAGACGATAAAAGACGTTCTTTTGTTAATTTTAAAAGGTTATTCTGATTAAATTAAGTGTAGCTGGTATTCATTTTATTATTGTTTGAGCATTTCAACTTGTTTAACAAAATATATGAGTTATATTGTATGTTTACCAACGGACGGTCTACTATTTTCCGGTGATGTCGGCTAATTTAAAAAAATATGGTGTAGATCAAACCATGATGTATCATCATTATTATTAGTCATTAACTGTTTATATGTGCCATTAAAGTTAGTGAAAACATTTGAGCTGAGATTTTCAGGCTATTAAAAAAATGAATGCTGGTAACCATAAGGATGATGTCGATCGTAGTAGTGAAGAGGTATATCATTCATATCTTGTCTTGAACTTTAAAAAATTTTCAGTCGAATCTTTTTATTTCATTTTTATCACTTTTTGGATATTAATTATTTCTTCATAGGGATGATGGAGATCAATCATTTCTAAATCAAACGACTATTATGCTGAATTCTAGTTATTATTTTTTTAAATTGGTAGTGGAGAATAATTTTTCTCATTTACTAGTAAAGTTGATCTATTTAAAACTGATTGTTTTTTTATAAAATGACAAACTTTCAAATGCTATCCTAGATGTTTCATTAAATTCAGGTTTAATTTGCTTCCATTTTATGACTTAAATGTTTATAAGCAATAGAACACTTGTATTTATTTATTTTACAATTTTTCATATTTTATGAAATTTAGTACCGATTATACAACTAGTGTCATTTTCATCTTAACTATTACTTAACGTTTTAATATTCTTATCATATAAAATGGATAGCAGATATATTTTAACTATTTCAGTAAGGTTAATTTTCAATAATTCCAGCTGTTTTAAATTGTTCACAATTTTAAATAAAAATTATAATCCAAAAGTGTATCATTTTTCTCAACAGTATTCCAGTTATAAAAACAAAAAAAAATTATTTCAATGGTTGAGATCATGAGTCAATTGAAGCTAGACCACTATGGAAAACCTGGAACTACTAGATAGCCCTTTCGTCCTATTGTGGGACTCCTCAGCCGTGTGCACCCATGACCTCGCCTCGTGGGATTCGAACCCAGGATCTATCAGTCTCGCGCACTAGCACTTGACCACTAGACCACTGAGTCAGCATCCAACGGTGTTAATGTCTAACTTCAACCAATCCACGAAATTGACTCATGATCTCAGTCATTGAAATTACTATAATATTCACAAGACCCTTCCGATATGAAAAAAATCATTCATTTTAATATCAAAATTTATTTAACCTGAATTCCATTAATAGTTGGGTTTGATATTTCATAGTAAACTTGTTTCTGTTTACTCGTGACAAACGACTTTTCTTTGTGAAATTAAATTTTTCGTAAATTTTTGTGTATCATTATTTTTATTTAATCCAGACTAACATCAATTCGAGATGTAGTAAAAAAGATTAATGTGACTAAGTAATGTGCGTGTGCATGTTTTATTTTACAAATACGTGGATATTCAAATAATGTTTTCATAACACGAATAACAGTAATGAATTATTCTATTATTTGTTGTCTCATATTCGAAACTGTTTCAGTAGTTTTGCATATTGATGGAAAGAAGATAGACATCGTTTTGTAAATTTTTAAGCATAGGATTAAGAGATCCTATAGTCTATTCAGTGATCAAAAATTAGTGATTGAAAGGTCGAATATTGGTTGTTAAAAGAGATCAGTTTTGGAATGCGATTTGCATTATCTCATAATGGCATAAATATTAAACATGTTTAGAATTATAGGTATCATTACTATGATTTGACTTGATAATTTCGAATAAATTGAGCATTGGGTATATTGTTATAAATAAATTAATGTACTTGTAATATCCCAATGAATTGAAAAATTAGATTTTCTACTCATTCTGATATTAATTATGTTTAGATTTAATTAGTGTCGAAAGCTAAAGTAGTACAATCAAATAACAGATGTGTTTTAAAGCACTGAAATATGAAGTAAATAAAGTCAATAGTGAGATTGTGTCTCATAAATTTAGTACAGACTCATTCGATAAACAATATTTTACTCATAGATTTGTTGTCGTTCGGACTTTTAAACAGCTAATTCCGGGGACTTCTAACCGAGGTAAAAATAGGTGTTCAGTACTGTTCAGTACTAAAATTTTCTCAGGATAAAATGAATTTGAGATCAAATAAGCTTTGAAATATACAACTGTTCCCGCCTATGTAAATAATAGTTATTCATTTATATTGAAAATTTAAAAGTTTATTATTTCTTTAATCGTTAATTTATTTATAAATTCTTTGCTATTTTTTAGTTAGAAGTGTAAAATCTCATATATTCCAAATGTTTTTCATTATCACTATGACATTTTTTATTATAAAAATTTGGTTAATCATATAATTACGTCAGCTTGACAGGTTGTGCTAAAATACTTAGATGATCACAACATCGTAACTCTAAATAAAACTTTTATTTCGAAACAATTATAATAAGTAACATATTACTATGTTTTTAAGAATTGTAAGAGTTTATATGTGTTGGATATATTTATTTTGAACGTTTTAACTGTTAAACTGGATTTGATAAATTATTTCGTTTTTCGTACATTTAAGCTGTAATTACGTAAACGTTTTTTACACATTTCACTTCAGATAGTTGAACGTAAAGCAGAACTGGCTATTTCTGAACAATATTCACTGATGTCTTGTTCTTCGTCCTATTCTCATCCTAAACCTTTGGTAAATCCTACGAAACAAATTATGAAAACGTCACCGACAACTGTTCAACCGTCAAACCATCAACCATCTTTATCAAATCAATCATTAAATGCACATAATATTGAATCGTTAGCTAGTGCAAGTACAGGCAGTGGAGGAGGAGTGAAAAGTATTGAATGTGGTGCAAGTGTAACAACAACTAGTTTGATAAGCGGATCACTATTTGATCATAGAGATAGCAAGCATACATTGAACTCAACAACAACAAATTCAGCAAACAAATTGCCACATAAATCAACCAGTGTTCATGTATCACCTTCAATGACTGAAGTTATTGTTGAACCAAAGCATCAAAGGTCTAGTAATGTTAACAAACCACCAAACGATTTCAGTAATACTACAATACAATGTAATCAAAAAGGTAGTCAATCTAGTATTAGACAGACTCGTACTGGTTCAAGATTATCTAGACGCGGGGTAGCATGCGCTGGGTAAGTTACTCTTTTTTTTAAAAACAAATAGTCCAATAGTATGCTTATTCCCGTTTAATTGATATATATTCATTAATGTTTGTGCAATTTGAATCAATTAAGAACTGAGAAAATTAACTTTTCAGCAAAGAAAGTTCTTTCGGTGATATCGTTTACTAGATCTGTAAAGTCGTATTTTTAGTTATTTTGTGCGTAAAGTGGTTTATGATAGAAATAAACAGATTATTGCGTCATTGTCAGAAGTACCAAAAGTCAGTTAGGGGTCAGGGTCGCGTAGTGGCCGTAGGGTAATAACAATGAAATAAAATATAGCCATGAGCTATGAAAGACTATCCACTTAATGTTTATGAGAAGGATGAAACTACGAACAAACACTTCAAAATAATATATAGAACAGAGATGTGAAAGATAAGTGTCCACATGAATAATATAAGAAGATGAATTAAGAGGAACCAAATACATTTCAAGTTACTAGCAAAATAAGAAGAGGTGTTAGAAACATGATAATCGAATGGATTGGATAAATCGGATCTGAACATAAAGACCAAGCATGAGTCAGTAAATCAACATATTCTCCGCTGTGCACTAGTTTCTTATTCAGGTTCCGTTCAAATTGACTAGTTTTACTTTGTGAGTTGTCCTCAATGAAGATTCTGGTGGAGATAGATGACCGAATTGTCTACATGTTCAAAAGTCGAGCTACTCACTGATTTATACTCACCGTTTAATAACTATTCTGGATAGTGTTCGGATATGCGTTTGTAAAGTGCATGGTTTGTACATCTGATATATAAGCTGCAAAAGAGAAAGTAAACTGACAGATAAACACTGAGGTGGCCTAAAGTGTATCCTTGGTACATTCTTTTGTAGGATATTTGCAGTAAAGTACAATTCTCTTCAAAAATTAGATTATTTGGTTTCGTAAGATCTCTACAATTACATCTTTGAAATTAATGTTCATGAGTAAAATCTTCCGTAAGATAGTTTTTTCAGTCAAGTGTTTTGATTTCAAACCATTTAGTTCCTAGGATTTGGTGTTAACTGTTTACATTAAACACATTTATTGTCATATTATTCCTATACTCAGTTATTATTTTGTTATATTGCTGTATAATGAACATAAATGAAAATTGAGTCCGATTTTACCCACATTCAAATAATTAATAACTTATAGCTTTTAAAAGAATGAGTTTCTTTTTCTATTTGGCATAATAGCTAATCTGTTGGAATATTATTCTAGAGTTTTTGCACTAGAATAGTAATTACACAGGTATTATAATATTTCAGTATATACGATCACACGTTTTGTAATAATGGTTTTATCTGAACAGTCACATCAGAGCTGTTAGTGGATAATGGTTTTGTGAATAATAAAAATCATCACGAAGATGTTTCTGGCAACACGGAAAAAAAGCTAAGCATCCTTTTGGTCAAATTAGTTAGTGTTCGTTTATTTATTAGGGACTTTGTGGCCAATCATCTAAAAATATAATGGTAAATTTTTCATGATAACTTATTCATTTAATACGTGGGTTTGAATTTATAGAAGAATAATGGGACTTTTGGTTAGTTTGTTCTACAATGAGTTTCATTATTCAACCAAGGTTTTTATAATTTTACAAATCTGTAAAACTAATTTGTCATTGAAATGGTTTTTTTTCTGACTTTGCATCTTAATTACCTCTCATTTTTTTTAACATACATAAAGCTGAACAGCTTGAATCTTGATCATTTATTTGATTCAAGAACGCTTAAGAGCCGAGTGCAAAAGTTGGCAGACAAGTCCGTTTTAGCATTCATTCTGATAACAATATGTGTTTCAACATCTTAGTTACTTTTTTATTACTAAAACGTTTTATTCGCCTTGAGAATCATATATATGTATATATTCGTAAATTGTATTGGATCATATTACATAGGAACAGACAACTTGAGTTCATTTATATTTCTATACTTTAAATACTTCACATTCTTAGTATTATTGTTTTTATTGTAATGGTTTCCTACAAATTATAAAAAGTGTTTTGATTTATCATTATTGTATGTATAATTTAGTTAGTATATGAGTGTGATTGTGTAAACAATGGTCACTGAAAGCTTGCTATTGAACAATGAAATGTATGTTGAGCTAATGGCTTCAGTGGAAAAGTGTCAGGATATGTGAAAAAATAAACAACTAAGAATTGCACTTACCATCCCTAAAACATCTAAAAATGTATTTATATCAACATGATGAATGATTTATGAACATACTATTAACTTCATATTAATTTACTTCTAATTTTGATTATTCGTGTTACAGACAGGATGGATTTATTTTCTATTTAAAAAAGTAGTAGCCTTATGAATGTATCCTTAATTTTTTGTTTTTACGATATACTATTATTACAAGATAATAGGACTGGTGACAGATGTTATGCTACCCCTAGGCTGCATATGCGATCGATAAGCTATACACAGACTGGATGCACGATTATAAATAGAAAACCGGGGTTCAAACGAGACAATACTTTATTCAACATAATCTTAGGGAGTTTATACTCATTAAGTCTAAAGCAGATATAGACTATAGTAACAAAATCAAAAATTAAGTAGTCAGTATGATGTATCTGTCAGTTCACGCTCCATAGCCAATCATATTTACTATCAACAGCTAAACATCAGTTTTTATATTGTAACATATTTAACGCATTGATGCAACTTCAGAGAGCTAGTACATTTCCTTTTTTAGACTAATTGTTTTTATACTTTAATAATTAGTCATAATATATTCCTCTACCTTGACTGTTTGTCTATGCATAACCAATTTCTTTGAAAGGTATATTACTTAAAATTAATTTAACTGTTCTTATCACTTTATGATGATCTGCACAATCTTATCCATTTAAATTATTATTGCTTCCAGGTTTTCCATGGTGGTCTAGCTTCAACTGACTCATGATCTTAACCATTGAAATAATTATTTCTTAGAGATAACTGAACACAATGATTATTTACTAAAGAATGAGGTGTTTTAAAAATCCGATTTGATAGTTAAAAAACTAATATAATTATCATGTATTTCGCAGTATTGTACAACGTTAACGAGAACGCTTAATTGTAATCAATAGCGAGTTGAACCGAAGATGATTTCATTTAGTTGTGCATTTTCATTTTGCCTAAACCAATTTGTGTAATGGAGCTATCTGTGTTATAGTACTAACAAACAATTTGTTTATCATTTATTTACTGATCAAAACATAGACTGAACAAAACAACACTCTAATTGTTATTTTGTTAGATAAATACTGACTATCTAATGTTTTACATGGTTCTTTATCCGTTTTTTTTAAAACGATATCAGTTTGTAAAGCACTGCTGAGGAGTCCCATACTAGGACGAAACGGTCGTCCAGTGCTTCCAGGTTTCCAACGGTGGTCTAACATCAATTAATTCATGATCTCAACCAAAAAACTTAACAATCTCCACAACCCCCATACTGATAATAATAATGTTTGATTTTTTTAATTGTCTTTGAAATGAATTTCGCCAAATTTTTTTCGATATTATAACTTGTGGAGTCGATCGATTTAAAAAATGTTGTTCACTCGAACACGTTCAGTATTGTAACTGAACATATTAAATCAATGAAAATATTTCAATGTTTAGTTTATTTTTGTTACATAATTAATGACTATCAGTTCAATACAAGTTAAAGAATTTTAAATGAAAGTTGTCGGTTATAAAATAAAATGTAACTATATCACTATCCAACTTTTGTCGGGGAAAAACAAAAAATACATTTAAATGAAGTCATCTGTAAAACTTGTCCAATTTCTCGCCTATTTTTAGACATCTATCATGTTCCACTGTTTTTTATTTTTCAAAAAAAAAAAAAAAGATTTTGGTTCAAATGAACAATAGATATTATTAATTTTGACAATTCAGTCTATTTTATAAGCTTATTCCAATAATGTAAATTACTACCTTAGTATTTGTTTTAATCTTTTCTGTTTTGTGTATTTATAAATAAAATATGTACATAAATAACAGTAAAATTCTGATCATCTTATAAGTGTTTTAATTTTTAAGTATTTAACAGTTGCTTTCCTACTTAATATTTTATGGATGTTCTAGAGACTCACTTCAGATTCGGTCAACTTGTACGTATGATACATTTTTACCTTTGATACTTTATGCATATATTGAAGGTACATTAAATAATAAGACATTTTCTGATAAACATGAGTAACATAGGAATGTTGGATTATGTTGAAACCTTTGAATAATACCAAAACATCTATAAATAAGTAGTTTCGATAGTTTAACAAGGCTATTCATCTAGGTAATTCATATTATCTTTATTGTCGTCATTATTATTAGTTTGTATAGAAGCGTCTTTAGGATAAATTCTATTTAGTTGTTTGATGTAAACTCTTCAACAAACTCAAAGTACCATTTTCCTTCCGAATTATTATTATTATTCATTTTCTTATTTGACAGATAATGCCGATTACCATTTAAAACCTTTAATAATTCCGGGCAAGTAAATTATCAGGTCACTTATTATTTCAATACAGATTTATTTTTAAATGGCAGATGTGATTGGCTGATAGAAAACAAACTAATCCTATTTAATATCTCTAATATAATTGAGTATTTCCTTTAAATTCATTCATTAGTGAGTACTACCTAACAGATAACGTCATCCATTTTTTAAAAATACGAATTAAGTAATTCACTTCAACCATATAGATAACGAATTATTACGAAGTATGTTTGAAAAAGGATTAGCAATTCACTTTGATCATGCTTCATTCGGGTAATGAATGCATTTTATTCTTGTTACAAATACTTTTATGTTCATATTATGAACATTTAAATACAATATCTATCATTACGAATCGCTGTTGACACATTCTTATTTGTGAAGTATATGTGTTGATTCTCTTCTTTCATTGAATAATTTCACATTTTATTAATATAGATAATATATATTTCTGTGATCATTTGTGTTTCGGTCTTGCCTATCTATCTTTTTGTTTGTTTGTTTATGTTGCATGAACTAATTGTTTATTGTGAAATTTCAAGATTTCCCTGTCGTCAGATTGTTTATACTATCGATACAAATAAACATCGAAAACTTTTTATTATACTCCATTTGAAAATTTCATTTTTGTAAGCAAAGTTTTTTTTAAAAATTTTTATGATGAGTACTTTAGGCGGATTTTATAAAAAACCTTTGTAATTTTTTCAGTATTTTTATGACGCAAGTTAAATTAACGGAAAATTCTTTGTTAGACGGGAGTTTACAATTTATAGTTTGTATCTAAGACTAAGTTTTCAAATTTATTTACAAAAATACTCTGACTCCCAGAGATAAAATCTAAAAGTGTGTGTGATTATTATACCAGGTTGTCCTGAATATTTGCAAATTATGGACTAACTTTTCTTAGTTTTAACTTCCCAGCTTTAGGTTCTAATTTTCCATAAAAACTGAAATTCAGTAGCCAAATGTCGAATATGTGAAGCTGTAAAGCAGTTAACATCGCAATTGAAATATTTGGTTTTTTGTTTATTAGAGACTGATTTTAACTTTGGTGTTATTTTTCCTTTGATTTTCTGATTAGCTGTAATTTTATAGCTCGTTATTGAAAAAATGTAAATTTTTGTAATGTGTTTTCCAATTGACAGATTTCCAGCATTTTCTTGGTGCAGTGGGCTGCAACGCGTAACTGCTGGTTGTGCATCGTTGGGCCGTGGTCATCATAGTCTACAAGGAAGTAGTAAAAACTCTAGCCAACAAAAGTTGATTGGAAATACAAAATCTCAAAGATCCGTCCAATCTAGCGAATTTACAAATCTTGGCACCAGACCTACACCCCCTCCAAAACCTGGTCCGCTAATTGTGGAAGTATTTCTCACTAGAGGGACAAAAAGTGGTTTAGGATTCAGTATAACTGGTGGTGTTGGAAATGAAACAATCAACGGTGACTCAGGAATTTTTGTAACTAAGGTTTGTAATAATATTATATACTTCTATTCTACATTAGAATATTTCTGATTTAATATAGAATACTGTTTTACAACTGGATTATGAATCACCTGTATATTTTCTATATCTGGGTGTTGTAAATGGAAATGAAAGACTATCGGTTGATAAATTTGTGATTTACGAACAATATTGTAACAGTGTTCTATAGTTATATAATTCGATGTTCATTAGGTGATTTCCGGAAGCCAAACTATACACATTGAATTTATGTGTCTATATCATTGTACTAAAAATGTGTCTTTGCCATAAATTTTCATTCTCACAATTAAAATGGTTAAGTTAAGCTCTATCCCTTGTTTTATAGTTTTGAGAAGTTATATGAGATTTTCTGAAATTAAAAAGTAATCTGTTAAACAATTTTTATTCATTAGATCAATTTCCTCATGAATAGCCATATTGATCATATTTTGTTGTAAGAAATTTTTTATCAGTAACTAATTCTAATAATCAGATTCTTTTTTCTTTTTCTTTACGGAACCTTTTGACTTGGGTTGTTTGTTTTCATGAATGATGCACTATTATCATTCAAGTAGGTCTGATCCATTGAAGCACCATTTCATTATCTTCAACCAAATATTTAAGTGAAAGTTCCTCAACTGAAATGTTTATAATGATCTGTATAGTGTGATGATTTTAATTGTGTAGTGAAGTATGAACTTTGAGTTGTTAGAGTTTCATCGGGTTTTTTCCATATTTTGTCTTCGTACTTTAATATCACTTCTAATTGGCTAGTTATGTTCACTGTGTTATATCTGAGCGAAGATCAAATCACGAGTAACTTCTGAGACCTATAATGGACTAATATTATCCATATATTCTTATGATATAACTATTCAGTAATTAGATTTTGTATATTTATATTCATCGTATTATAAGCTTCATTTTGACCCATAGATTATTATTGTGCGATTTTCTGTTCTTAAGCTATGTTCAGTTTATTGACTACTGCCTCCCACGTTCACAGTCACTTTTTGGCTTTATTGTGTATGAATGTTATTTCCTATATTATGGTGCGTTGCGGTCTGTTTGGTTGACATAAAAACCCAGTGTGTCTGAAATCACTGATTTGATTCGATTCGCATAGTGGAAGCTGTATTGGTGTTCTTGACTTAACTGGACGGTCTAGGCGAATAAGGGACCAATAAGGACACTAGGCTGCTCATACCAGTCAAACGTCTTTGGTTTAGCACAATGTGAAAATTGTATAGTCGTATCTCATTTGGTGGATAAATCACGTTTTAACTAGCCGGACATAAAGTCATAACACACTGACGTATTTACTGTTATCTAAATCAGTTGTTATACACGGACTTTATATCATTTCTACCTGCTGAATACACAAATTACTAGATTACCAAAACTCTTTTCACAAAAAGGCTATTTGGTATTCATTTGCTTCAGACATCTTCAGATTTCTCCAAATACCAACTATCTGTGTTTTCCAGACTGCTTGAGTTTGTTTACCATTTTAGCCTATTAATCATTAGGTTATGTAGGATGTATAATACACAAATAATATATATAATAAAAATCATAACTGTTAACAAGCATAGAGGATAAGATTTTGTGCAATTTATACCAAATACGGTATAAATATATACATACTTTATGGATATGGTGTTTTAGAAATATTCGCCTTTAATTTTTTAAAATGTATTTATAGCTATGAGCTCAGTGGATCCAAGGATACTTTCAGTTATAGTATTTTATTCATATTCTGTCATGTACTATTTTAATGAATAATATAGCATATAAATCGTTTCAATATCATTTTATTTGAAACCAAATATTTACTTCATCTGTAAATATGGTTACCATCTGATACGATGGGATTAGAAAACAAACTTAAATTCTTTTACTCGTGATTCTTGTTCAACACTACTTCTGTTTTAATTCAATTTTATATTCTTGTATTAAAATAAAATGTACTAAGCTCGGCATGACACTCAGTCAGTGATTTGTTATAACTCTGGGTATTTTTCATATGTCATTTGATCTTAATTATTAGTCAAAATAGGTGTGTAATCAATATATAAATCAGTGTATTTTCGACTAGGATCGTTGTCTTGTGTGGTTGATAAACCTTCATTCGTACCAATCTTGGTGTTCTTACTTCGCATCGTAGGAATTGGAGTGGTTCATCGTTTTACAAGTATAAGTAATAAGCGATTCAGATATAACAATCAGCGACGACCAGACATAACAATTGACGAACAGTCATAGCACCACCACTTACTTACGCCCGTTATCCTCCGTGGAGGAGCATAGACCGCCCTTCAGCACTCTCCATCGAACTTTGTCCTGGACAATCCTTTCCAGTGGCTTCCAGTTGCTGTTCATCCTTTTCATGTCTGCTTCCGATTCTCGACGTAGGGTGTTATTCTGCTTTCCACTTTCCCTTTTCTCTTGAGGATTCCAAGTTAGCACTTGCTTTGTGATGCAGTTTGGTGAGTTCCGCAATGTATTTCCTATCAACCTCCAGGGTCTTTTCCTAATTTCTTCTTCTTCAAGTAGAAGCTGGTTTGTCTTCTCCCGCAGTAGGTTGTTGCTGATGGTATCGGCTCAACGGACAGTGAGTATCTTTCGTAGACCGTTGTTTATAAATACCTGTACTTTTATGATGATGGTTGTGGTAGTTCACAAAGTTTGAGTTCCGTACAGTAGAACTGACTTGACGTTCGTATTGAAGATATTGGTTGATATTGGTTGACAGTTGTTTTGAGTTCCATACATTCTTCAACTGTAGGGTGGAGACCTTGCTTTGTCAATCCTCGCCTTTACGTCTGCATCAGATCCTCCACGTTAATCGATTATGCTGATCAGGTACATGGAAAATCCCACATCTTCCAGAGCTTCTCCATCAAGTCTGATTGCGCTGGTATTGACTGTGTTTTATTCGAGGATCTTGTTTTGATCCCTTGTGTATGTTGAGGCCTACTGATGCAAAGGTTGCCCCCACACTAGTTGTCTTCATTTGCATTTGTTGATGTGTATGTGATAGGAGAGCTACGTCAACTGAGAAGTCCAAATCGTCTAGTTGCATCCAACCTGTCTATTGTATTCCATACTCGCCCTTCATATATGGAGGTCTTCATGATCTAGTCAACCACGATAAGGAAGAGAGAGGTTGCGAGTAAGCAGCCTTGCCTGACACTTGGAATGAGTCAGTTAGCTGTCTTCCATGCACGACTTCACAGTGTATTCCGTTGTATGAATTCCGGATGATGTTGAAGATTTTCTCAGGTACACCATAGCATCGAAGATTCTGTAATGCTCTCCTATCCACACTGTCAAATGCTCTTTCATAATCAATGAAGTTGATATATGGTTACGATTTCCACTCAAGTGATTGTCCAACGAGTGTCGCGATTTGGTCTATGCACGGACGATCCTTACGGAATGCAGTCTGTTGATCTCGAACCTAGAGGCCTATTGAATCTTTCATCAGGTTGATCAACACTCTTGAGAATCTTTCCTGGTTCTGACAGTAGTGTGATGCTTCTGTAGATTTCCCATTTTCTCAGATCTTTCTTTGGTATTTTGATGAGGTATCTTTCCAGTCCATTAGCACTTGTCCTTCCTCCCAAATGTTCCTGAATAGAGTGTGAGGCATGTTTGCAGTTACTTCTGTGTGTGACATTAGTGCTTCGCTTGGTATATTGTCGTACCCTGCTACTTTCCCTCTCTTGATTTGTATGGTGACCGGTGATCCTGATTTCTTCGGTCGTTGGTTGAGTGACATGTATAGGAAGGTCTATAGATGCTTCGATGTCCGGTGGGTTTAGTGATGCTGGTCTATTCAAAAGGTCCTCGAAGTACTCTACGCATCTGTTCCATTATACTTGATTCTTACTGATTAGCTTGCCTTCTTTGTCCTTGGCCTGTCTCTCTGGTCTACTATATTTCCCTGCTAGTTTATTCGTTGTGTCATATGGTTGTTTCATATTTCCTTTTCTTGCAGCTTTTTCTACCTTCATTGCTAGGTTTCCGATGTATTTCTGCTTGTCAGCCTTAATGCTCTTCTTCACTTGGTTGGTTACGTCTCTGTATTCAGCTTGCACCTTGGCTTTCTCTATTCTTGTTCGTCTGTTGTTGATTGCTGACTTCTTGTTCTTCCTTTCTTGGATTTTTGCAGGGTTTCGATAGAGATTCATTCCTGAAGATGATGCTTCCATAACACCATCAAGAAACTTAATATCCAGTGATTTGTTTGTCAAGTGAAGCCTCTAAAACGCATGGCTGTATATAAATGCTGTTTTGATGTGACCTACTTATATCCACACAAGTAGTATATAATTATCAGGAATAGAATGCATTTCAGTAGAAGATCGAGAAGGAAAGAACGGAAACGGAAAGCAATTGGTATTAGAATGCACAACTAATGAAATCTGAGACGATAGACTGATATTTGCAAAAGAAACAGTCAACTTTGGATTGATATTTTGCAAATTAATTATTTACTCTATGGTTCTCAGATTTTAGTGAGATGTTCTGTAATTTTGTGTTCAAATACATTCGATAGTCCCCGCTCGTGTTCTTGTTCACTACACTATTAGCTTTTCTTAAAGGAAAATGTGTTGTTAGTACTGAAATTCATGACATGTCAGTAATTTAGGTTGACTGATAGCTCCTCTGAAATTCAGATGAGTAGTGATCGAAACATGATTTCAATCTAAATAAATTTGTTATAAACGAATACAGATGTGATTTCTTTTAAGAATCCATAGATCAAAACATTTCAATTTTCTTATCAGAACTTACAATCTGATTAGCTTTTAAATTAATGTACAAATCGGAAATTAGTTCAGCTGTGATAACTGACTAAAGCCACGTGAATATCTGAATATGACTTATCAAGTACTGGGTGTATAGCTATAATGTCTTCTTTTGAATATGCCCTTATTTTTAAAATGGTTTTAGCTTACTCCTGGTGGTGTTGCAGAAACAGATGGTCGAATTCGTATTGGTGATAGAATTGTTCAAGTAAATGATGTACCACTTATTGATGTAACTCATGAACAAGCAGTCCGTGTTTTAAAACAAGCTGGTGATCAGGTTCGACTTGTTCTGGTAAAACATGTAAATAATTATTCATCAGATCAAACTTCGTCAACAGGTAAGTGTCAGGTTATAATCGTATACAGTTATAAGTACTAATAGCATGATTTTGACGTTAGCATTTGAAGTTATATAGCTTCGTTCTCATGAATCTTTCGTTGTATAAAAGTGGTTTTTACATGTTCATGTGTTTTTACTCAAATAATAAGTGGTTTTATTGTAGCATATTTTGTTGGAAAGTGTTTAAAAACACCTATTATATGAAAATTTGCCCATCCTTAGACGGTCTCGGTCATACTTCAATATGACCGAAAAAAACTTGAAATCTTTTGAATTTTTTATCACAAGTATCTCATTTTTTACTACAGTTAGATAAACAATGTTTCTATCTTCTTACTGAAAATTTACATTGAAATTTCCTTTGGCTGTCCCATGTCATAACTTGTCATCAGTATTTTTCATATTCAGTTAATCAAATATCCGAAATTATTGATGTATTTATATTCGTGTCGTCGATTAAAAATTTACAAGAAAACTCTACATAGTGTCCTTAAGCAATCTTTAATATTCCGTTACATGATCTATGAATAATAATTTTACAAAGCGAATAGTTTCACAGTATTTGGGCGCCGAGTTGATGTGAGACATTAAAGAGGAAGAATGACTTTGTAAAATCTCAGCGAAAGGATTCAAAGTAAATCCAACGTTTTGCCTGACAATTTGGTCCAAGCTTTTTCAAGGAAATATTTCCTTTAATGTTATACAGAGTGAATTTAAAATGCAAACAAAGCATAAATTAATTTTAATATTACAGATTTATTTTTCTGTTGATCTCGAGAAAAAGAATAAAATCACAGTTTTAAGAATCCCTACACAAAATTGTCGCAAATCTTAGGTCGTAGTTAAATTTTAACTGATGTATATGTACAATTTGTTATCAAACAGTTGATAAACTAAGGTAATAAAGTATGGATATTTTAACGAAACAAAACTGACCAGTATAAACGATGATGATAAAAATGCAACATTTTTAACTTAATCTAAAAGTTTTGTAGAGACCAATTTAACCTGTTATTGGTTTCTGGTCATAGAGTTCTATAATTAATGTGAAACTGAAAACTAGGTATCACTGAACAGATATTTGTACCTGGTATGGGAAGTTTCGTCTTTCCTTAGCTATGCTCCCATCAGTAATCAAACGTGTTATGAGTGAAAGAACCGTTATGAATTTTGCTAGTTGATCATCTCACTATACCACAAATTGAATAAAGTTGAGAACACGTTACAATTACTGTTGTTATTTCTCATAAATCGTTGACTAATTTACATATTCATTAGTTATTTCCCGAATTTTGTTCATTTTATATTGAATAAAATTACTTTTTCTTGTACTTAACTTTTCTTAAATGTATATATCTTTTGGTTTCCCCTGTTTGTTATAAATATATATATATATATAGACCGAGTGAAAATTGATTCGCTTAAGGCTACTAGATATGGTTTGATATTCTTTCACCTCATTGTTCTTTTTATATCCTACTCTTCAAAGTTCATACAGAAAATCAACTATACATAAAAAGAAAAATCGATCGATCTTGTTTACATATAAGTAGGAATTTTAATTAACAGTAACAAACTAAAATGAATGAAAAAAAAATTTTCTTTTTCTTTTTTTTTCTTTCTGTAAATGTAAAAATAATAATGTCATAAATGAAATACTTTTTGTTTTCTGTTTACTTGATAGAATGTTTATTGTTTGACAAGATCTAATCACATTTCAGGCAGAAACTCATTTTTCGTTATTGAACTTTAATGAAATGAGTTCGAATAAATCAATAAATGTTTATTTTCTATAAAATTGATGAGGCCGTTAGGATCACAATAGCTAATAGTTTTTAGTAAAAATTAAAATTCATTATGAATTAACATGAAATTGAATATTTTATTCTCTAATAAATTACTGAAAAGTGGAGAATTGTTCCATTCAACTCATAAAAGTCTATTTAATACTGCTCATTTACAATTACAAACAGAGTGAAATTTAGAATTTACAAATGTCATGATGGACAGTATGGATTGAGATATTTTTGTTGCAATATAACAAAAGTCAGTTTAATGCTTCCTAGACCACAATAGTTCTACAGGAATCTTCATATAAACACCTTGTTGTGTAATGACTATTTGTATACCACTGATTACGTGACAGTTCTCTATAAGTTTCACTATGATTTAGTATTCAAGTTTGTAGTCAGAAAACAACTTACCGATTATCCCTATTAATAAAAAAATAATGAAAGCAAAATGTTAGAAGTTTGGATTCTGCTTTGACATTCTATTGTATCCACTGAGTATCCTATGTTCCGTTTTATTTGATTTCGTTTACATAATACTGTCTGTGACTATATATGTTTCAAATACTTCTCAACTATTGTCATTTCTTCATGAAAATTAATCCAAAATCTTATTAAAATGTCATCATTGAAGTAGCCTATGAAATATAAAAGTATATTGTGAGCTCTTTGACTACAAAACTGAGGAAAATTAGTAGTTATTCTTAAAGTATTCCACAGATTTAATAAGCTAGTCAACTCCTTTCCACTTTTCCGAGGGTGTAAAATCTGATTTAGTTAGTTGGACGCCATTTAAGTAATGATCAGTATTTTAAGATAAACACGGTTGCTGGAATTTGAGATTTATATCTACTGGGATGTTTATTTAAGTTATCAATGTACTCACACTAAGTAATCAAAATACTTGTCTTATATATATACCATGTGTATGTGTTTCGGCGAATGCAGTAATCTAGCTTTCAAGAAAGCAGTGAATGTTTAGTGCATAGTTTTCTTATGCGTAAGCCAAATGTTTTTGTTTGGTACTCATCAATATGTAGAAATAAAAAAATTCACCAGTGGTTTTTCTCGTTAATTAGTTAAAAAGCTATTTCTTTAATCTGCGTGTTTGGTTTTAATAAATATGAAATCAATAAAACAGTTACAAATTTAAATATGTGTGATTCGAACTAGTAAAAGTAAGTTCAGGCTTTAATGCTCACACAATACTTAACACTTCTTGTTAAATCCATCACTAGTTTGTTATCTCAAAAACAATGAGAAATAGACAGTATTAGTTTATTATGTAGATTATCAGAAATATTCCTTATTTAAGTAATTTGATTAATAGGGAATAATCATGGCTACCTTTTATTAATTGTGGTCGGTTAACTTTTTGTCAAATACCTTTATGTAGTATGTTCTTGAGATGGTAGGGATTTGTGGCTCAGGTGGATGATTTCACTCGAATTTCGTTCTTTGAGTTGAATGGTTTAATCACGAAGCTTTCATTGTTCATATGTTCATTTATCCAACTGGTTTATTGAGAGCATATTTTTATCTGAGTAAAACAATTCTCAACTGTCATCCAAAAGAGAATACAATAAAATCTCATTTATTTATTTTTATGCAACACTATGGAAGTACGGTTTTCCAAGCTCATGGTCATTAGCTTTGTTATCACTCTTAGCTTTGTGCCCTATCATTATATAACGTAATGATATCGCCAATTAGAGAACAGTGTCTTATCAACCAGACCAATGATACATAAACCAGCACGAACCGTATAGAGTCCATATCCGTTCTTCTTCCTGCTTAGCCTTGCCTCTTGAGTTCAGAACAGAGATCTCACCCTCCGCGATATGAATCATATATTTTAAACATACTGGTTTTATATACAAACCAAACAGACCACATCGTACCATAAAATAGGAAATAACGTTTGTACAAGATCTAGTCAAAAGTGACTGTGAATATGGGAAAGTGTAATTAATAGACTGGGTATAACTTAAGAATGGTAAATCGTATAATAATAGTCTTTGGGTCAAAATAAAGCTTATAATAAGAGGAATATGAATTTACATAGTTTGATTACTTAACAATTATACAATAAAATTATACGTATATTATTAGACCATAAATAGATCCCAACATTTACCACTCATTATTCTCATCGGGTTATATCAAGCTTAATTGACAAAGACATCATGTTAAACATTCATATACCATGTCTTTTAGAACAAACGCATGATTACAATGCAACACTGACAGAAACAAAGCTGTTATATCATCCACCCTCATACAAAATGAACGTTTTTAGGTAGCCTTCTCATAATAATGAGATTGTTTAATTACGAATAGATTATCATTTCATCTAATTCATTCAAATCAAATTTGAGTAACAAATATTTTAAACAAATTATACAACTAACCAGTGAAATTGAAATCTCTTTCAAATAAAATAACAAAATTACACTTAGAATATTTATAACAAAATTAACTATTTAAAATGGATTTATGTTAGTAGTATCTTTCACTAAATAGTATTTTATCTTATTTGTCAGAAAATATATAGTATTGAAAAAGGCATATGTTTAAAACTATAATTAGAAATAATATTTCTAAAGTTCATTACATAACATTATCCTGTATGTTGCAAATGTTTTATTTACATTTTCATTACACTTTTGAATCCATTCATCATTTAGGTTAATAACATCTCCAAACACTAATTTTCCTGATTACTGCTTATACTCTTATTACCTCTACTACTACGGGATTTGAATCGACCACTGCATCTCTGTGCTAATGTGGTGTGGCAACTCGAACTGATGTACGTACGTACGAAGTTCTACGTTGTTACTGACTGACTTAGGTTAATTACATAACAGATTATTTAAATCATACTGATAGTTTATTAATATGAAAAATGTTTTTATTCATAAACAAGACCTGTGTTCATAACATGGTAAACTGATCCATATATATTCTCACCATATAATTACTAAAACAATCACGCGATGAAATCCTTAGTTATTTCTTATGCTCATTATCGAAAAATCAATTAAACTAGTATACGTTTTAAAGCTAAAGCCTATATTAATAAATAATTATGTGATATTAAATATACTTGATTATTTCAATCAATCTCATTAATAGAGTCACTTAAAACAATAGATATATAATCAGGTTTAGATAAAATAAGTGTGTCACTTTATTTGTCTAATTTGTATAGCATGTCCACTGTGAATGTATTAATTTCTTACAACTTTCAAGTGTACTTAGTCATTGATATTTATGTTTAGGAAATGTTTCGTTACACCCATTTGTTTTACCTTCTATTTCCTTTACTTAATAAACAAAACTAAATTTCATTATGTTTTGGGTTATGATATATAAATCTTTTGATTAAAATTGATTTTTTATTATCTCATTATTTTCATTTTTCATCTCTGTTTCTCGTTTCTTTTGATAGAAATAAAAACTGAATCAAGTGCACTTAATGATCAAGATGTAATTATTTGTAATAATAATGATATCAGTGGTAAAAATAGTTATGATGATAATAACGTTGGACCAACATGTTATACTAAATCGTGTTCATCATCAGTATCTTTATCGTCACTTCGTCGATCGGCTTCCTTTTCTCCTTCCACTTCATCTCATACGTCTCCACTTTCAGAACCATCTGTACATAGTTCTTATCATGCTGAATCATCATCCGGTCATCCAGTGGAGTCTGATATAAGTAAACAAAAAGAACAGAATACATATGAAAAATCACCTTCGGTACTTTCACAATCAAAACAAGATCGTAATTTAAGTCATAACGATCAAAATCATACTCATCGTCGCCGTCAATCTGGGACTACAAAAAATGTTCATTCATCATCTACAATACCTAATGAACGGTATCGTTCTTCCCCAGATTTATCAAATGAAAAGTGTCATAAATCACAACCAAACGAAACCGTCACAACAACAAATAATCCATACTTTGGTGCAACTGGTCAAGAATTATTAGAAAATAGAATGGTTGGTATAAGTGAGTAGAAAGTGTTATTGTTTTACCTATTTTTTGATTTATGTTGTAATTTAATTGTGTGGAAAGATCTTTAAGTGTTTTGTGATTGTTCACTATTTTAACGCATTTTGTTTTCATTCATAATTTACGTGAGTAGTTGTATTTAAGTAACTTGATTTATGACACTGATGTTAATCTTGGCTTACAGAAATCGAGAAAATTCATTGTTCCATTTGACTAAATATATTTTGAACAGGTTAAATGGAGATATTTGCAATATTTGTTGATGTTTTGAAACATTTTTCTACAGTTGTATACAGGAATAGAACAGTGTTTGGATGTGTAATAGTTGCCTAGTTTATATTTTAGATAACTCAACTCGATTTTGAATCCTAAACTGTTGATTTTAGTAGGTTTTAGGTAATTAAAATTGGGTCGTATAAGTGAGTTCGCACTTTGACTTACGACCAAGTCGTACAATCTAGTCGATTAATTCAGATTCATACCAACATGTAGAACGAGATTTACACAATCATATAGTAACCATGATATATACTGTCCTTAAACTAGAACTTTGGTATCATATGAATGGTTATTACTCAACTGAGGCGTCATCGTTTACAACAATTCAGAGTTGTATGAGGGACCAAGAAGACCCTGTATATTTTATTTGTTAGTGTTTGATAAGTGTCAACACACTTAAGGCTAAAGTCATTTCCCCACAGATGCGATTGATGACAATGAATAAAGAACTAAATTATTCCAACACTTCATTATGACTTTCTATTACAATGAACAACTGTAGATAGTCTTATAAGTATATGAGTTTTGAGAATTTTTACTTGTACTTGTGAATGGTACATCATCTTTTGCTTAGGAACTATAAATCAATAATAACTGTATATTGAGAATGATTTTCCCATTCTACACGATGGATCGCTACAGTTTTCTTTGCATTTTATATGATTTTTATTTATTTCCTCTTTGTAATTCATCAGTTGATTATGCAGCGGCTGCTTCAGTGTCCAACTTACTTAATGAATGGCCAAATGCTCGTTTAGTTACATTGTATCGAAGTGGTCGTAAACGAATTACTTCTATGAATCGAAATCAAACAGATAATTTTGATACAAATCAACGTGGATATTCATCAAATAGTGGGAGAAATCTTGGTTTAAATATTGTTGGTGGTGATGGTTCAGAAGCAACATTTATTTCTCATATACAACCTGATAAACCTGCTGGTTTATCAAAAAGGATATTGGTTGGTGATCGATTGTTAACAGTAAGTTTTATGAATTTTAAATTAGCGAAAGTATGAATTGATGAAAATACACGTCTAAATAAGTGTTCATTTAATTGAAAAGACATAACAAAAGTACAATATAATTCAATTATCTAGTACAAACGAATTTTCAATTATAAAACGTTCACTCATGATTGAACAAATTTTCTTTTGAAAATATTTTATTGAAACATTTCTTTTTCAATACTCAATTTATTGTATTATGTCTGACATAATGCTTTTCTGTGTATTGTAAAATTAATAAGACAGATAATATTAAACTAAACTATTCAACATAAAAATTTTGTTTTGTGTTAAACAGTTGAAGGCAGTTTACAAAAAAATACTACACCTATATTCCGTGCTAGTTTTAACTCGTCATCGAGATATACCTATAACCTTGGGAAATTGATACTCTGTCCCGTATTCGAGCCCGGGTTACTCAATAATGACTAGTTAACTGTAGATGTTTTGAATATAAGGCACTACAATACATACTTTACGTTTGAAAAATGACAATATATAGCTTGTAGAATGTGAATTTGTTCACTATAAATTTATAATGGCAACAAGTCTATTTACTAATTAGCATATTACTTTTGAACACTTTCCAAGATTTTTTACACATTTTCTTAGAAAAACAACTTTAGCATAAAAACTTGTACATAAGCCTATTCCATCACGTTACTGTTTGATCTTATTCCAATAATGATCAAGATCTGATTTCACCTGGATATGTCATATAAAATCATAATCAACTTAACTTCACTCTGGTAAATTGATACATGAGATAAAATTATGGTATTTTTAAACAAAATTATGTTTGTTGCTGTAATTTAATTGATGAACGAGTTACCAGGAATCTATGAACTTGTTTTTCTGCAACCTGGTATTAAAATCTGTATAAATTCCACTTATCGGATCACCTATCTAGTCGTATATTTCTGTCAGCTTCAATTCCTTATATTGTACACTTATTCGATCATTTAACTCTTTACTGTGACTTGATTTTCATTACATCTCATTCGATTTTGTACGAGGATTGACATGAAATACAAACCGTTATTGAATAAATAGGCACTGTAGCAACAATTAACTTTTAGTGAGCTAAACTAACCAATGGATTTGGGAGATGGACATACAGCGTCATGGACTTATTGCGACTAAAAAGGTAAACCACTGAATGCCAAGTAAGTGATTTGAAGGCCGTTTTCACGTCACGAGACCCATCTTCTATAGGACCGAGGATTTTCACATACTCCAACACAATAACTGTCCTATGCTTCCTGGTTATCAGCCTCTATCTAAGATCAGTGGATGATGCAGACTACCAAATCAACCAAGCTATTAGAAGTATTTTCACCTGCAACAAACCATTAGGTTAACCTCACGTTATATACAGTAAAATCAAAAAAGTGGCAATGTATTTTCTTGGGTGTGTTACTTTTCCTAAAAAAATAACAAATATAAAATACTTCTTTCCTGTTGAATGAAACTGTTTATCATCACTTTTGACTTGAACGTCATAAGTGTGTATTTAAAATAAATATTGATATTCTTGTCTCTTTCAGTGGTATGTTTTCAAAATCAACGAATGAAAGAAAAGAAAGCTTGAATACTTTTTTTATTCTAAAGGGATATGTTTATTTATTTTCCTTTCCCATCTCTTTGGTTTGTACTCATTGGTTGATTTATTTTTATTAGTTTTTTATGAGTTAATTATTTACTTGTAATTGACATAATACAAGCAAAATTTAGTTTTGTTATTTAGTGTTCACTAATGTAATGAATGTTATTTTGTTTTGTTTTGAGGACTTTTGACATAAAGAGGTCAATTCACACATATCAGAATTATCCTTCATAACATATGATTACAAAAAAAGTAGAAGTGCTTTTAGATAAAGTTTTGATAGTCACTATCAGCAAAGTCCAGGACGCGCGTTTCCTTGCACTTGGAGCTCGTCAGCTAGATATATCTACATCTCAGGGTTGATGTTCTCTATGAAACTCAAACCCAGTTTCTTTCGTTTCATATGCTTATTTTTTTAAGAATCCGGTTTTCTTGAACATCTGTCTAGTACTGATAGTAAGCGTGATTGTATAATAACATCTATTGAGTTATTGTAGAAGAGGAATATTCAGTAAGGCTACATTATTGTCTTTACTCAAATTTTATTAGGTTGGCTTATGTCATTTATCACGTGCAGCCTTAGGTAAGTCACACGTAGCCACACTTTGTGTTATAAATAATGATAACGTACTTTACCTAAACCGAGTTAGACAGATAGGTGTTCGAACCTGCAAAGTCAAGTGTTATGGTTTGCTGAAATATCTTTTAAAATTGTACCATATGATAACTATCTTCATTTTAAACTTATGCTACATCTTAATCAACAGAAGAGAAGAAAAATACATATTTTTCCAGTGACTTATGAAATTTTAATATTACATATGTTACTTAATCATAAACAGTACTATCATGTCTAGTCTCTATAATTAAACAAGTTCTATCGACCAATGTTTGTGCACTGGCAGTTAGTTCCAATTATTAGAATAATTTAGTAATAACAACTGTGTTAAATGTGTTTGATTTTCTTACAAAACAACAGTTTTCTTAAACTTCATAGATACAGTTTAGTAGTGAGAGACATAAAAAACAACAACAGGGAATTGAATTTCTGAAGTTTCTCTCTATCTTCACTAATCGTTTTACAAGATTAAATTAGTCTTGACATGTGATGATAAATTTCCTTTGATTTAAAATGACATCCACCAAATAAGTTTTCATTTTTAAAGATAAAACCTTTTTTTCTGGATTAATTTAAACTAAAACAACATGTGAAGCAAAAGAAAAACTGATTGTTGATAAATGCAAAATATTTTTCTCCGTATGAAGACTTGGAGAGACGTATCTTCCAATTTTTGTTTCTTTTTATAAAGTGGGGTGTTTAGTTTGCTCATTGTCATAAGTAAAATAATGTTTTTGGTTGAATTCTTTATTTTTTTTCTTCAGGTTGACTAAGTTGAACAGTTGTTAATCAGAAAAAATGAATTTTATGAATTTTTTGTTAGATTCTCTGTATACTTCACATACTGTTTTTAATAGTTACACTTAGTTTGTTCTACTAAATCCCAAATTAGATACATGGTAATGCAGTAAAATAAAATTACTGTATTTCTGGAGATGGGAAACAAGACAATCAAATGAGGAAAACTTTCTTTTTATTATTATCATTCATTGAAAATGTACAATTTTATTTATGTTAATTTAATATAGTAGTTTATTAAACATTAGAAAGTGGTTACACAATATAATTTTTAGAAATTTCTTGTGTCACAAGTAACTTGCGTAGTGATCAACAGGTTGAAGAAAAATAATTAGATCAAAACAGAAGTGTCAGAAGTGATTTTCACTCGACAAATAAAAAGAAAGAGAGCAAGAAATGAAAAAAAATTATAGAGACGATGATAACAAACAGTTCTGAATAAAGGAAAACTGAAGATGTTCAATCAGTGGTTGGGTAAGAGATTGCATGCACTGCTTAAAACTACTACAGATTCACTAAATAACATTGTCGAGAAGAAAAATTTCTTCGTCGAACTGTTTTCATCTGATGACACTGATAAAACGTATTTTCGTGATACATCGACGATTAATAATAATTTTGATAGTGTTTATCTACAAATACCGTATATAAATACTATTACTATGTATTATAGAATTGTTGCTCTGTAGTTTTAATAACTGACGATTAAATATATGTAATCCAACATTTTTTTTATCGATACCGTTAAATCCAACACTTTCAGTGTGCCGTATAACCTAACACACGAATATGGTAATCACTGTTTCGGCCAAATGAATAACGAGCATATTATTCGATAGTGGTATATCCCTTCAATAATGTCTCTTACAGATCAGTTTGGTTAGTAAATTTATAAAGTGCGACCTCCCTTGAGTTTACGTTCAAAATTCTATATTCCACAGCAAACATAAGTTACATTAATCATTAAATAATACATTAGTAAGTTGGACAACTAATCAATTTCCCACTACAGTGATGAACAAGTTGTGCTGTATCCAGTTTAAGGAGGATTAAACAAGATATTAAAAAAGAAAGATTAGTTCAGCGAATAGTTCTCTTTTCGGTGAATTCATTTCCAAAGCTATACAATCGCAAATATATATACTTATTTATTTTGAAAATGAATTCGCCAAAAAGAGAACTCTTCGCTGAACTAATCTTTCCTATTTAATGTCTTAATGGCTATATTCCGTTTACTAAAAAGACATTAAAACCTGAATAGACAATAGTAGAAAGTGTAGAAGCCATTCAGTTTCATGACGTATCACAGTTTACTACGCAAATTCTGGATTTCTTACAAACCACTTGACTAGTCTGTGGTGTAATGATTCCTATAACTCATCTAGGTAGATCAGGCTAGTTTAATCAATATTGGTCATAGATGTAGATGAATATAACTAGAATTGTAAATTTATCTGGTATTTCAATGGTCCCAATTAAGTTGATGTTGATAGTTATTTGTACTCACATTACTGCTGTGTACACGTACTCATATTTACTCATCTCTTGATATAAATTGAAGGTCTCCTCAACTTTAATAACCAATAAATTCCAATATGCCAATTTATACATCAAAGAGCTTGCGCGAAACCGAAAGTCCTGGGTTTGAATCCCGCCTTCAGGATCGTGTGTGTGCTCTGCTAAGGAATCCTATACTAGGGCGAAATGGCCGTCCAGTGCTTGCAGGTTTTCAATGGCGGTCTAACATTGAATGGTTCATGATTTTAATGAAATTCAACATTTTTCACAACCCCCAAACTAACAGTTTTTCAGTTTTATATTCGTTTTATTCGATTAATTATACATCATGATCGTGTACAATTATGTGCTTAAGTAGCATTTTTACAAATCTGAAAACAATGTCTTTTGTAAAGAATCGCCGTATTGGTTGGTATAATTTCCTCCTCACTTTTCCTTCGAAAAAACAAGTAGGGATTACTGCACAATTCATAAATCAAATATATTATGGAATGAAACATCATTAAATAACAATACTGGTCGTTAACACTTGATAATGAATGTGAATAAGAAATAATCACTGTTTAAATCGTTTTTAAACACTTTTTGATTATCTACCAGTTGAATGTACATAAGGCCGAAATTTATTACAATATTGGACACTTTGCACAGAAATCAAGCACTTGCTGAGTAAAGTGATAATAATAGTTATGATTAGGATTGATTATTCTCAAAGATGATGTCATCTTTTGTTTTATTCATATTTACCTCAGGTTAATGGCATAGATGTCTCTAAGTATGGGCACGAGAAAGCGGCTGCAGCTTTACGAGATGCGCATGATCGTGTTGACCTTCTTCTAGTCTATAGTCCTGAAGGTAAGCTTACTTTATATCACAGTACAAGTCGAGCTATTTTGGGTTTATTAAGCAGAGTTTATTCAAATTTGACATAAGAAATGCTTACACTTTATGAATTCTTGTTCAAAAAATTACCTTCACAAATTTAAAAAACGTATCGAAAAAAAATGTTTGCAGAACGCGATGAAGTCATTGTATTTCATCGTTTTTTTCTCAGGCATATATGAGCTAATCTGTTTAGCGAATGGAAAATATTATTTTCGTAGAATTTCTACAAATTAATAGTTTTTTTGAAAGACATCGACCAGCACTTAGTAAATGAGTTACGTAACTTACTCGTCAGATCATTTTAAAATATAATAATTAGAAATTTGATTTACGCACAAACATTATATATTATTATCATATATTCATTACTGCAATCGATTATTTGAACCATTGAATTGTGACACTTTCTAAGTGTAGTTGAGGAAACTTTCAATTAATAATAATCATTGGTCATTATTAAAAGATCTCTAGAACACCTCACTTACCCAAATGGCTCCATTATAAAGCTCATCGGTGGAGTTTAATAGGCTCAAAAGGCTAGGTAGCATGATATTAATTACTATTTAATGGCTGTTCAAAATGTTCAAAACACGAAGTTCAGCGAATGGATCTCTTTTTAACGAATTTATTATCAAGCTGTACAATCGTATATACATGAAAATTTTTTTGTTTAAGTACAAGTTCTGCGAGGAAATGTAACTAAGTAATAACGCAGATAATGTAATAGAAAGTCTATAATACTAGATTACGTAAAATGAATAATAAAATTAGACTTAATAGGTTAGTAACGAATTATAACATGAATGTCGTAAAATGATTAAAATGTCTTTGTTGCAATTATGAAAGGTCATAGAGGTGTAGAAAATAAATAAAGTTATATCATGAGCACTGCTGAAGAGTCCCACAGTAGAACGAAACGGGCGTACAGTGCTTTCAGGTTTTCCATGGTGGTCTAACTTCAGTTGACTCATGATCTCAACTATTAAAATCACTATAATATCCACAAACCCCCTTCTGATACTAATCAACATATGCTCACTAGTGATTGGCTTCAAGAGGTATTTCCTGGCGTTCTAGTGAGAAACAGTGACCAATGGAGTTCAACCGGGTTGTTGTGAGAAAGTAACTTACTGAAGACAATGGTGGATGTGTCGCTCAATTTCGTAGATTAGTTGAAGTTAGACATTAACACCATTGGATGCCGGCTCAGTGGTGTAGTAGTTAAGCGCTCGCGCGCAAAACTGATAGGTCCTGGGTTCGAATCTCGCAGGAGGCGGGGTCACGGGTGCGCACCACTTAAGAATCCCATAATAGGACGAAGAGGCTATCCATTGGTTCCAGGTTTTCCATGGTGGTCTAGCTTCAATTGACTCATGGTCTCAACTCTTAAAATTATTATAATATCCACAAAACCCTTTCTGATACTAATTAGAAATAAAATAATGACAATATGAGATATAGGTATAGGGAGGTATGCAATAATAACAATAGTTAAGGCCAAAGTAAATATAACGATAGGGCGTACTTCTTTTATACACATAGTTCTGCCTTGAGCTCATGGATGGGAAGAGCTTCAGTTATTTTTAGGAATTGGATATGAAAAAATCTGGATAGATTTAGACGAATCGTATATACAATTTAAAAACCAAACTGTGGATCAGTAAAATGTTTACAGTCGACTAGATGTTCAAGTATGGAACTCCTTATGCTTCCTTTCACCCTTGTAGGACCATACCACTGACCATTAATTATCGAAAAAGACAAATCATTCTTATTGATTAGCTTTCCGAATCAAACTACTCTTTAAGACGATATTTTTGTGAATTTTAACGAGGCATTTTAAAGTAGCTACTTTGTGTACATACGTATGCAAATAATAACTAGACAGTAGTTCTATTTATATCTCATCTGTTTTATTTTGGACCATATGGTTATGCACTAATGGACAGTAGTCTTTTTATATCTAATATTCACTTTTGTACAGTTATGTATTTGTTTACTTATTTACTCTAATCACTATCTTCTCATATTATATGTGCATAAAATCAGTATGATGTAACGACCGATGTTGATACTAATAATAATATTATTACTGATAATAATAGGAATGGTACATTTGCCAACTTTCATGATGATAAGAGGAGAAGGGGAAATATTTCTTTTTGGTCTGACGTTAATTATCATTCAGTCCCATCAATCAATCATCTTGTCTGCAAAAATGTAAATTTCCATATAGCAAAAGGACGCATAAAATAATTAATATTAATCAGATCAAAATTTTCTACTGTATTATTTGAAGAAATAATTTTATATAATATCTATACATCAAATAGAATTTATAAAATAAAAAACGTGAATGGTTTATGGACTGAAGAAATCTGAAACAAGAGTTCATTTCTAATTTGCAAGTGTAGTAAATAATATTTTATATTTTTCTGTATGACTTGAAGTTCTATGCTCATAGATTAATTAAATATGACAATTCATATGAAATTTGTAAAGATTCATTCAATTCAAAAATATTATACTAACATGAACTGATATCATTTATATAGCCATTGAGAATAAGGAACAAAAGTGATTTGTTTTGTTCTATATTTTTCCTTACTTCATCCAAACGTCAAATCATGAATGGATACTACTGATGAGTTTCAAATAAGAATGAAACAGCTTTTTAAAGCTGCATTGTTTATAAGGCCTTTCTGGATAATGTCAGTTCGTAATGAAAGTTAATTATCAAGTTGAACTTCTTTAGTTCACTGGTGAATTAGTAACCTTTTTGCTTAAATTTTAATATGATATCGAACGTGAACCGTAATTATATATATATATATATATATATATATATATATATATATATATATATATATACTCCACCTGTAACTCTTCTAGAGTTACTGTCAGTCCCAAACCTGGGTAAAGGAGGAGGGTTGGGCATGGGGTCGTGAACCCCATCCTGTAGAATAGAAATCTTGCCAAAAAATCGCCAACCAGGTTACATATATATATATATATATATATATATATATATATATATATATATATATATATAACTAGTTAAGTATTTACTGTTGTGATTTAGCAGATCTTAAGTTGTAGCCCATGTCTACTTAGTTTGGGTTTAATTGAGGATCTGTGAAGTGGAATGAATATACATCTAGTTGATGAGTCATAAATAGAGCTTTATATGTATCCTCGGTTGTATGCTCCTTTCGTCCATTAAATTGAATAAAGAAACATATTCTACTTGGCTTTTTAGTATTTGTCCTATGCTAAATGATAATAATGACAGTAACTGTGACTCATTTGTCAAGTACAATTTGATTTGCTTGTCCTAAAGTTACATCTGTGTTATGGCTAGTGATACTATCCGTCAGTTGAATCGGAGTTCTTGAGTTATTGCTTCTAGGGTACAGCGTTGTTTCCTCTCTTTATTCCTCTATAATAATTGCTTTTATCAAGAAGCAATCATTATTTAGAACATTTTTAATCATTCTGAAATTCTTAAAATAGATTACTGCTTGCACAAATGCGTAATTAATTTGTTTACCAATAAAATTGTCATGCCTTTCAATAGCTAACTAGAACAAAGTCATGAAAATCATACAGTTGTGGCTCGTTTGATGAATATTATGTGTTTGAGAACAATAGTTTTGAATAAAGGATTTGTGATTATAAGCGATAACTAATGGCTTTTCATGCACCATGGGATGCTACAATATGACTCAATTTCTTAATATTTTTCTTGATTTGATTCTGGATGGAGTGCTTTGTTGAAAATAAATTAAACGTCACAGATAATGGACTACTTGAAAAATTGTGATTAACATTTTTAAGAAAAGTCTGTATCTCATGGTAATGTATTCTCAAAACTACTAATCTTTTTTTAGTTAATACTGTATTTCAACAGTTTCTAAAAAGTGTAATTCGGTTTTATCTGTGTAATCTCTTGAAACCATCAATTTCTACATTCTAATTATCAGTTTTCTTCTCAAATTCATGATGATTTTTATTCAATAATTGTTATTACTTAGTTTTTCAGACTATTTTTGATTAGTGAATGACACTTACATACATTCGTTTATAAATCTACAGTATTTCTTGTAAACGTTTTATATAGAATATGCCAGTTTTGAGCAACATTTCAGTCGTCAGCTTAAAGCAGTTGGTCATAAATTATCTTATAAATGTTTACATTCACTGAAAGCTAAAACTGCCAATGGAACAAGGACAGACAGTATAGACAAAGAATCACCAATTACCAGTTGTCAAGATAAAAAGCAATCTGGAATGAGTAAAGATAAACTGAAACAAAAAAGCACTGAACATATTGATAAAAAGGGACAACAAAGTCGTCAACAGAATCAAAAGCGTCAACTAACGAATGAAGCACCTGGCGAAGAGAGAAGACATGAAGAAAATGAAGCTAATGAATTGAATGAATATCCTCATGTATTATTATTACGCTCTCAAGTTGATTATGACCCAATGAAAGAGAATCATCACCAGGCTATACCTAAAAAAGTATTCACTCTAAAATCGGGTGATTTGGTTCACGTTATTAATACAGTTGATCCTGAATGGTGGCAAGTAAGTGCGTTTCTTTTTGCTTTTCTGGCTTGCCTAGTTTACAAATGTAAACTTAAATGGACATAAAATTTATTGTATCAACCATAGACAATATTTAGTAGAGTAATCGAAGTATCTGGTAACTTTATTAACAACTGTGAAGATACTACAATCTCCACAAATCCCCATACTGATAATAATCATGTACTCCTCAGTGACCATCTTTAAGATGGAACTCTTGGAGTTCTGGTGGAAGCTGTGACTAGTGGAGTCTAATCAATGATGGTTTTGAGACAGTTATCTACTTCAAACAATGGATGAGGAGTTGTGCAAGTTCATGGATCGATTAAAGTCAGACATTAATACCGTCGGATGCCGGTCCCATACTAGGACAAATAAGCCGTTTAGTGTTTCTAGGTTTTCAGTGATGGTCTAGCTTAGATCGACTCGTGAATTCAATCGTGAAAATACTACAATTCCGACAAATCCCCATACTCAAAATTAATATGTTTAAATAGAGCAAGATCAACTAAGGTTGCAGAACAAAATAACTTCATCAGTATGTTTCACGGTTTCTTATTATCTGCAGACAACCTAAAATTACAGTTATTAATATAATTAATAACATGTTTGGCATACCTTATTTTGTAAAGTTTAGATAAATATTCGAAACGTAACCAAACTTGTAATAATAAGAATAAGACTACAAAGTTTATGAATAAACTTAGTTAAGACCGATGTGTATTCATATGTTAGAAAGTAACAACGTCGAGTTAAACATGTTTCATAGTAATCATTAGTCATAATTAAGATCAAAGAGGTTAGGTAAGAGTAACGAACTTGACAACTGACTGCATAATCATTCAACAAGAAAAGAAATAAAATCAATTAAATTTGTGAACATCAATGAGATTATGTAAGAGATCAATATCAGACGAAAACACAGGCATAGTTGAAAAATTTAATGAAAGTTATTTGATAAACCATAGGAGTGAATGGCTAATCACATTTTTATTCTGTATACATTGGTCAGGTTAGAAAAATTTAATAGCGATTGCCACTGCTAAACGGAATGAAATTGTTTTTTTTCTCAGCTAGTTAATTTACTAAATTATGTATATTCATTTCATATCCACTGTCTAAATAATTATGTGTTCCACTACTATCTTGGGTGAACTTACACCTGTAGAATGAATAAGACTGAGTTAAATTGTTGCATTGTAATAGGGTGTACCAAAATATAAACCTGTGTTATATTGGATGTTCTCAATTAATTTAGAGCTTATAAGCAAAGATGCATGGTGGCTAGCAGTGGAATCCAGGACGCGCGATTCGTCCTATTTGGGACTTGTCATCTGGATGTATCTTCACCTCAGAGTTGATGTTCACTCCGTGACTCGAACCCAGTACTGTTCGACTCAAATGCTATCAGTGGAAAGATTCAAGTAAACAATACAGAGTGAATTTGAACTTCACCCCATTGCACAAGCAAGTGACCATCAGGAGTCAGTAGCTAAGTCGATAACGTGATAGAGTTTGAAGTGAACGCTACTGGTTCGAGTCCCAGAGTGAGCATCAATTCTGTGATGTAGGTATACCTGACTAACGAGTCCCAAATAGTACGAAACACGCGTCCTGGATTCCACTACTAGCCACCATCCGTCTTTGCTTATAATGCTTGTGACTTAAGGCAATATTGAGGCAATCCACACAGGATGCACATATGCCAATGAGAGACTGATTAATTGCAGTCCTAAGCATCAGTGGGAAGATTCAAGCAAAGAACACCAAGTGAATTTAATTTAGAGCTTCTTTCACACATAATGCATAACTTTGAATAAATTCATTTTTCTATCTTTTTCTAATGTAATCATATTACTCGCTATGAATTAGAGCATTTCTTTAATTAACTCATTATTCATGTATGATGTCAAGAGAAAAGTCGAATTTATTATGCTATTTACGTCACTAATAATAAATCCTTCATCCTCCATTACACTATACATCAAACATTTGATAAATCATGAAATTTCCTCAAGGAGACCAGTAAAAACCAAAACAAGTTTCTGAATGTTTTCAATTTATGGCTCTTGAAATTGTACAGTTGAAATGCAAAAATACACTGTACCACAATTTATAAATTTAAACAAGTATACAATTAAAAGATGTTTATGTAAAATAACCAATTGTTGTGTGAATAAGGAACTCAACTTGTTCATCTTTTCTTATGCAAAATAAATATATTGAATCTGTAATTGATATCACAAATATTGTTATGACTTAAGTTTTATTTCCACTTCATTCAACATGTTAATGTGAAAAGTGCTATCAGTTTGTTTAATTTTTTTCTTTAATAAGCAGATTGATGGGTAGTGATGATAATTTAGATTGGTGTTAAAATTATTGACCTGTCCCAGAATATTATTTCCACTAATTTTTCTTCCCTTCATTGACCAGCATAGGTTTTTCTCTTTAATAAGTGTTGAAGTCAAGCAATAGTTCAATAGCTTTCAATCTTTGGAAATAACTTGGTTATTATGGTAGATCAGTAGTAATAGAAGTTGGTTCAACTAAAAAAGTGTTTTGATTCTTTGGAATATTTAGTTTATAACTTTGGGTGTGTTGTACAATACCACCGTGATATACATTTCAATTTTTTTAAATACTTACTTACTAGGCCCAGAGATTTGATCCAGAAACCAATGAACCAACTGGTCCAATCGGTCTAATTCCTAGTCGTTTACGCTTAGAAAGAAAAGAACGTACTAAGACACGTCATGTCAATTTTATGGCTAGAAACAGTCGATCTGTTGACACACCATCAATTAAATCAAATGATCCCTATGAAAGAAGACGAAAAAAGGAGAAACAGTCATTTAAAACATCTAACTCAACTCATTCTTTGGTGGAAACTGTTAATCAATCTAAAGATTTTTATTATTCAAAAAACAACACGATGAATAATAATTTTCCGCGTAGTTCAAGGAATAAAAGTAAGTTTGTATATGAAATTATATATATATTTCCCAGTCACTTCAGTAGATGAAGATTCACAATCTTATCAAACGACTTACACTTCAAATCACTCTATAAAAGTTAGATTATTGGTGATATGTCATACCTAAGGATAGTTGATTTGTATAAATACCTCACCCATTTCCGCGTACCTACGGTTTCATAGCAATTTTTCATTTTCTCCAAAACGTTTTTAATTTGGTTATGTTGTCCAGTGATCTATGTGGTCCCATCACCGATCAACTTGTAATTTAGTGTGACACATTCGTTGCCGTCAGTAATTAATTAGGTCTCACTCAACTTGGTCGAACCTCAATAGTTTCGGGTCTTGACTAATACTTCTGGAATTCGCATCGAAAGCACTCACAAAGTATTGTCGAATGGAAGAGATTTTTAGAAACTAGTTCAACACAGTTTTCATGACACTACTGATTTAGGACAAGACTTCTGCTTTGATCTTCTTGATTTTCAATAGCACTTTAACTGATATTAATTTGTATTGAAACAGTGTTCGTAAATTTATTTATCGAATACTAATTTTAGCTGTGACGCAAGTGTAAATAATATGATTGACCACTTTTTAAAATAATTTTAATGATTTAGCGTTTCCATCAAGATGATTTGTCCTATGTAGAGAGTTTGAACTAGGAATCAGTTCAATGAACTATAAACAGATTTCTGTCCCTTCATTCACGCAACATTGAGGAATGTATATTTTGTTAATTTTTGCTCTGCTTACTATTACCGTATATACATGACCGTTTTAAAATTATTCCGTCGTGAATTTTTGGCACTGTCACATTATCTGACTTGGGAAGTATTACTGCAAAGTTTTCATCGTCTTCTGGATGACATGTTCAGTTTTCTGATTAAATCATCCAGTTTATATTATGCAACAGTACTAAAAGTATTGATCTGAGTTACAAACTTTCCATATCATTATTGGTCGTCTTTATTTAATAGGACTATGGCAATTTCGTTTCTTTTTGCATTAACAGATCGCAGTCAATCTCGCCATCGTCGTCATCGTGACCACCAACATCATCCCTTATCTTACATAGCTGTTACTCCGGTTCATTTAAGTTTTGCTAGACCTGTTGTTATATTAGGCTATATGAAAGATAGGATTGCTGATGAATTATTATGTGAATTCCCTGATCTCTTTGGAACCGCTATTCCATGTAAGTACTTGTTTTTAAAAACAATTAAATCTAATGTCTATTTTAAGTATGTTTACTTAGAGTTTATCTATTGGTCTTGTTATCTTCAGTTTATTTGGAGAACATAGTGTTTCTGGTTGCTAATACTTTGTATGAGAGATGTGTTTAGTCGGATACAAGTGAAAGTATCAATCCATAGTCACACTTAGTTGTATGACAAAAAAGAGATTTGATGAAACTTATCAGTATATTAAATTTAAATGAGAGAAAATAGAGGCGGAATAGCCTTTCTAGATATTCTACTTATCAACAAACTAGATGGGTCACTGAAAAAACAACCAAACAAGAGAAGTACTTAGGCCTTCCAATGCACAAATTTTCTTGGTGTTTTTTCTCTACAGCATAAAAAAGAACCGGTTAAGACACTTTATTATAGAATTAGGTCAATATGCTTCCCAGATGCAGTTGGTGAAGAAACAAATACATTGCGTAATTTCCCTAAAATAAGTGGGTACTCCGAGAAATTTGTAAATAAACGTTTATCCAAGAAAAGAGAAAAGTGACGTCCTAACGGTCAGTCTATACTGCTAAAGTTCAAAGATGCAACAACCAGCAAAAATGCTAATGCTAAAGTTGAGTAGGACAAATCAAAGAACTTTTGATGCTGAAGAACAACATTTAATGTTTTCTACGCTTCCGATGATTGCTTCTAGACTCCTCACCTCTTTTGGAATTATTACTTTAGAACGATGACTATAGAATCTGAAGAGAATTTATTGAAAAGAATATTCTTCATTCATTTATCTGTGTTTTTAAAAAGATAATCGTCGTATTTTGTTCTGGCTGACAACTTTTTAATCCTTATTGTTACTTCCAAAATGACTGAACGATATTATTGTTAACGAAATATATAGTCTATTTAACCTCATATATCCTCCGTCGAATAATCACGTACATACAGAGTAAAAATTAAAATCTGAATAGGTGTTGCATATTTGCATTTCAGACATCCATGTGAGTAAACAAACTGAACGAGTGAATATGAATAAATGAAGACAGACATATTTGCATTCAATATAATCGGTTAAGTTAGCAGTAAGCATTGGAAAGGTAAAAAAAGTCAAGCATTAACATGTACCTGTCTATCATGTTTATTCACTATACGAGTGTAAATTTGATCAAATGCTTATGACTTAGGTGATTAAAGATTACAATAGGTCACTACAAGTTTAATCGGTATTATTAGCCATATTATTTCAGATTTCTTTGATCCAACTACCAGTTGATTTAATTTTAATCAAATGTCTTTCGTGTTTATAACGATCATCGTTTTTATTATCGATATCAAGAGTAAGTCATTGTCAGTTTTTGTGATAATTTTCAATTTTTACATGTTCTTTGTGATTATTCATGTCATCAATCTTATCGTCTTATCAAATTTTTAAGTAAAGTTAAATTATGTGATTATGAAGAGTTTTTACATCTACTATTCACAGTGATTTACACTTGATTCAAAAGAAAAACTGAATTCATGAAATTATGACCTACATCTATTACTGTTTATTGGGAATTTCACTGATAAACTAGGTTGTCATGTTTTCCGTTTTAGCCTTTTTGTCAACTGTCTTTTTTATTCGTTCATACTATAAACATGTCATAAAGCACCATTTCAAAGTTGTTCGTATGATATTATTCGTTAATACAATTTGATTAACATCAACTGAGGGGAATGCACGTATAATCCGAAAAAATCACATTGTTAAAGAGAAACACACATATTTATTCGAACTGGCTATTGTTATTAATTGTTTCAAAATCTCACTACTTGCTGTAAATTGTTTACAACTAAAAGCTGATAATCTTTTTTAGCTAAATATTCAGTAATACTTAAATCCACTGTACGTTATATGGTTAATTAACCTATAGATTAAAATAAACTCAGATATTGAAAACTTTTAAATTAGACTCTGCCTTACTCATGAATAGAAAGCAAAATTCTCATTCCGATTATTATTGCTTAATTAAGTTGTTTGTGAATATCGATTCAAGCTGAAGATTTTTGTCATGAATGTTAAATGTCTGTTGAAAACTATGAAGCAATAAAGAGGAGGTGTGTCGTATTACTCCATAGATCCCTTATAATGTGTCCATTCTGACTATGAATTTTGCATTTTTCCCCTTCAGACATAACTGCAACCTTGAAATAAGAATATCACATTGACTGCATAAAATATTGTCAACTAAATACTTTAAATACACACTCTTTCTTCACCAACTAAAAATATCTTTAATAGGTATTACGATACTTATAAATTTCATTGTTTTTTGTTCGTTTAAAGATACAACTCGACCACGTCGGTCAAATGAAGTTGAAGGTCGTGATTATCACTTTGTAATCAGTCGAGAAATAATGGTCGCTGATATAGCTGCTCATAAATATCTTGAAGCTGGTGAATACAATGGCAATCTATATGGAACCCATTTAGATTCTGTATTTGAAGTGTCTGAATTAGGATTGCATTGCTTATTGGATGTTGGTGGGCCAGCATTAAAACGTTTAGAATCAGCTGGACTACCACCAATCGCTATTCTCGTGCTGCCTGAGACAATACCAACTGATAAAAATGATATTAATGATGATGTCGATGACGGTAATGATAATGATGATGGACGTTCTTCTCGTTCAAATGAACAAACAAAACAGAAAAAACTTAAACTTAAAAAGTGCTCTTCTGTTGAATCTGCAGCTTTTAAAAGTTTACAAAGTAAACTTAGTCGTTTACTGCAGAATTTTACTTCCTTTTTGACAGGTATGTATCGTCGTTTTTTGTAATGTATACCTTGATGAATTTTTAGTTATTTAATTAAGACGGCGATACTATAGATTGAAACTAACATATAGTCATGTATATATAGTCTTCAAGAATAAAATGTTTTGGAATAGCACTTACAATAATGAATTGTTGCGAAATAAAGTCCTTCAAAGTATTTTGATTTATAAATTTGGCACATGAGTGTCTGAAATATTAAAAAGGTTAGTTGGAATAATAATTTCATTTTGAAGAAATCTTAGAAGACTAACTATTCTTAATCAAGTAATATAATGTAAATTATTCGTCTCGGTTTTGAATTAATCAGTAGTATTTGTTACAAGATACTCACTTTATTAAACTAAAAACAGAAAAATGTAATTAAAATAATATGTCGTTGTTAAAACCTTTAGTTCGAGTCCATCATCAAGCGTTTTTTAATAAGACTACTATAGAGTGAAATTTATGCAGAATCAGTATTTCAAATTTTTATGAAGTATACTTTCTTAAACCAGTCACATACTTTGCAAATAATAATTGTATCTTGACGCATTGTCAGTCTACTATGAGAAAGTTTTGACACCAATCTCGAAGTATTAATGAAGAAAACATAATATTTATGATCAATACATACTAGTAAACCATAGACGTTTTTTTTAAATAAGTTCTAGCGATTGTTTGGGATTTGTTTTAGGTGAATTGTAAGCTATAGTACAGAAGCTTTTGGTGATCAATATTATGAAACTATATGAACGACTGTGTGTACAGAGAAACATCCTTGTATAATCTAGATAGGTCTATTCATAGAGTGTACAAATCGTGACATTCTATTGATGCTTACAAATATCTCTGTTAATTTTTTCTGTATTCCTTCTTTACTTATCTTTATTCATTTGATTTCTATTTTTTGTTGATTACATAGCAATTATCACAACTGATGATTATGAAACAGCTTATAGCCGTGTTAAAGAAATCATATTCACTAATACTGGACCTATTGTATGGTTGAATTCACCTCAGCCAATACCATGACGAATGTAATAGTAATCATCAAATATTACAAATCAATCAATACATTTTATAGCCTAATCATTAGTATTATCATGAATGTTCATGTGTAAATAATATTTCTATCTTTTTCAAATACTCAGTAATCAAATATTTTTTCAGTGATCTTCCATGTTATTAAGCATTTATTTAATAAACAGAACTGTTACAAATAGAAATATCTAATATCTAATATTTCAATGTATTCATGAAAACAATTCATCTATATTTGCCCTCTAGACTATATATGCATATAGATTCATATTTTAATTACATTTCATTTTATGGATATATCCTTACCTAATTAATTTCTTCAATAGTTATTTTTTAATTTATCACTATTAACAATAGATTATTTATAAAATTTAAAAAAAAACATTCTATGTTCATTACCTCAAATGAATCATAATTGATGGAATTTATTTTTTATAATATGTGATATCAGTTGTTTTAATCTTTAATTAACTGTAATTTCATGTTTAATTTCACTCTTGTCTTTTTTTTTTAAAAAATCTTTCTTTTGAGTTCATTGAAAATGTTAGTTATTTGTTTCTATGTGTGTTTACGTAATATTTCGTTACATTATCCAATATATACATATTATGATGTAGTATACCAAAGGGATATAAATAGTTTCTTTTAGACAAAATTAGATGATATATATATATATATACATATAATATGCTGTTTACCTTCATATATTGTGTATTATATATAAACTTATCAAACAGATATGAGTATTTTATAGATTTGTGTCATTTTGGATATATTTTCAGTATTTGTGCATAGATTTAGTCAAGAGTATGTAGTTATATTTATAACATTTATCAAACCTTTTACAATCATTAGTCGTCATGTTAATTTTTCGACAGGATTATTATCAACCTCGATTTCTTTCTTTTTTTTTATTTCTATCGAGATAATCTTTTTTCATTTTTTTTCCCTAAAAATCAGGTGTACATAAATCAATAAATAGATAGATGTGTGTGTGCTTGTATGTTGGTATTTCTCTCTCTCCCTCTCTTTCTATTAAAAAGAAAAAAAAACATGTTTGTCCATTACCACTAACAGTTCTTTCACATAAAACTTTAAAGAAAATAAACCAACAAAAACAAATAAATCTTTTAAATGATAACAATAATAATAATTATTATTATTTTTCTCATTAATCACCTCATAATCATCATTCTCGTGTTAGTTTTTAATTAATATTATGATACTCATCTTTTGTTTGGTTGCCTTCTGTTGTTAATCGTCTGTATGTAAATATATATGTATGTGAGTGTTCTATGTCACAGAAACACACACATCATTCTTGTATGACTACTTCCGTCTTCGTCTCACTTTTCTTTTAAAATGGGTAGATTAATTTAAATAGTGATGGTACTGCTGTTCTAATATAATTATTATTGTTTATAAAAAAAACACAATCTAATGTAATCCTTTTTTCATTATTCTGTGTATTGTATCAGCTAATATCTACCGTGTTGGTATTTTTATTGACTTGATCGACCATTGTAGATATTATTTGTTCGAATAATTTGGGGAGACTAATTCAGTTTGCAAGTGACTTTTGTCGCATGTTAATGTCCACCGACGAACCATTGAAAACGAAACAGTTCTCGTGTACTCACAAGTGACTGAGTTTCGCGCTGTATTGCTGAACGATTATAGTCGGAAACCTGAATTGTCGAATTTGAACTCAGTAGTATAAATATTGAAGTCTCTTAGGAATAGTGCCTCAATTACGCTGTTCTCAGGAGTCCCACATTGGGGCGAAACGGTTGTTCAATGCCCCCTAATATTCGACGATTGCACATTACATTTCTGACGAAAATCATTTTCTGATGACAGGTATCTAAATTTAAAACCATTGCCTCAGAAGCAACAGAGAGTATGGCGAGAAAATTAAGCTCACCATAACTTTGTGGTTTACTAGTGTAGAAAATTCCGAATACTTTGATAACACATCAATTTTTTTAATCCCTTTTTTATCATAGATTCATCCTAACCTACCAACTTGCTCACGGATATTAATGCCAAAGGTAGAACTATATCCTATTTATTTAAATTCTCTGTTTACTAATTAACCCAGAAAGAAAAACTCCTGATGTCCCTACACAGTTAGATCTATCATAATCCTTTCTTCATATGTCTTTTAATAATTTCATGTTATCGTTTTTCACTCATACGTTCCGTTCCACTTTCAGAAGTGAACATGTTCAATAGATTGGTAGTATTTTTAAAAGTTGCACCTTGAGACCCTTACTAGCCGACGTGCTTTTATATCGTATATTGTAATTGTATTTATTAGAAATATATAAGTAACAACATAGTGACAAATCCAAAGGTGATACTTATCTACTAATTAACTATGGGACATTAGTCAATCTTCTGATGAAAGGATAAATAACCAGCTAGCTTCGGTGGACATACTTATTAGTCAAAGAAAAAGTTTGTAAAAGTCTAACACTTAGAAATGTTTTTGTCTAAACTGGTTTAAAACTCAGCTTATGTAAATAGCAAATGTTTTATATTGCATTATATTACATTTATTCTCGTATGCTTTTTTATCGTACAACTAGGTGATTTGTTCAGATGAGTGAGAATAGTTCATTTATTCTACGATATTACAGTTAACTACCCAACATTAATAAAACAAATTTGCTTTTTTAAATTAAAAAAACATTTCAATGTAAGACTTACTGATGTAATCTATAAGTAGTCTAATATCATGTGTTCTTTAGTAACTAGCTTCGAAAAGATGTTTCCGGAGTTCTAGTGAGCAGCTATGACCGATGGAGCTCAACCATTTCGAGTGTAAGTCGGTCATCCAACAGAGACGGTTGAAAATGGTCGCGTATTTTCGTGGACTGACTGAAATCAAACATTAATACCATTGGATGCCGGGTCAGTGATCTGGAGGCTAGGCGTTCGTCTGCGAGACCGAAGATCCAGGATTCGGCTCCTGCGTTCAGGGTAGTGAGTGCACACTGCTAAAGAGTCAAATACCAGGACAAAATATCCATCCAGTGGTTTAACTTAAATTGGTTCGGTATTTCAATGAAATTTAACAATCTCCACAACTCTGTACTGACAAAATAGTCTAATAACCAAAATATCATGCTGGTCTTCGCTTGATAAGGTGCTGCTTTCATCTGTAGAAGATTAATTTTACTTCATAGGATTTTAGCAGTGGTAATTGATCACTGGAATATTCGACTTACTGATGAGCTTATTTGATTATATGCGAAAGATCGTCGATTTATATCAACTGATATCGTCTATCATTTGGAAAATGGAACATTGCTTTTTATGAAGGCACTTAACTAGATGTGTGACGGTTGTATAGAGTGACATCAAGCATGAAGATATGGTTGAAGGATCGTTGGTTAACTAGTTTCTGTCTTGTTCTGTATAGGGATTTCAGGGGAATCGATTTCCTTGCTAATCATAGTTGCCAAGATAAACACTGGAAGTAACCCTCATTAAACTTACATAATAGTTAGGCTCAACAATAAACCCATGGTTATCATTGAATATAAAATATAACAGAATTAAATGAATCAAAATGATAAAATATCAAATAAAACAATCAGAAGCTGTTTTATTCTTACTAAATGTATTTAGAGAAACTTATAATAAGTCTTTTTATTGAATAAATATTCACACGAAAAGGAAAACAATTATTTTTTTATGAAAAGTTTCCTAGAGATTCATTGACATTCCAAATATTCAATAAAATTATTATACTGAAAACGTAAGTTAATTAGTTATCATCAAAGTTGAGATTGTAAACACAAAACTACCATTTTAAACATTTATATTACACATTGAAGTTTGAATAATGGTTCAGTGAGTAAAAAAGACATCGAAACAATAAAAGGAATAAAAGTAAAACATAGATTTATATGAAACTTGTGCTATAAAACAGGGGTGTTTAGAATTTTTTAAGGCCTATGATTAGTTTTTTTTATTTTTCAGAAAAAAATTCTCACACCTTCATAATTAAAAATTGTTGCTAAGAGAAATTGATGATTTAGATGATTCTTTATCTTCTTCAATAGCTTCTAATTGTTGTGATTGATGTTGTTCAGATAATAGAAATTTTGATTGGTTTAATAATGGACTAAAACAATCATCATTTTCATTAGATTCTATCAATGTTTTATATAAATTCTGTTGATATTCATTATTGATCATTTGTAAATTATTCTTTTTAACATGTTCATCTGAAAGTAATTTATCATTGAAATTGGATTGATCCGTTTCTACATTGTTATCGAATTCAAACTGATCCTTTTTTATCGGTATTGGTAATTTTAAAAGACAATGATTATCTTCGGTTTTAATAAATGAATCTTGTGAAGATGACCAATCAAACAACTTACTGGTACTATTGTTATCATGATTCTTTTCATGATGATGATGATTATTTTTATGGGAAAATGAAATATTTCTTGTTTTTAATGTAGAATATTTTTTTCGTCTAGTAAAAAATCCACAACAATATAATAATGCACTTAAAATCATTAAAATCCATAAACCAACAATTGAACCGGCTATCATTGGCCATAATGGTACTTTATGAGTTATTTTCAATTGAACACCATGAAAAATGATTGATTGTTTAAGTTCAAAATAATTATCAGATGAATATTTGATATTCATAAACTTATTTTCAGTATTTATTGTATAACTTTGATTTTGTGAAAGATTTTTTTCTATATTATAATAAGCTTTAATAATTAAAGGTAATTCACCCCAATGATCAATGTTTAATCTACTTATAAATTGTATATCAGATTTTTTTAGTTTGAAAAATGTTTCAGCCCATAACCATCCAATCCATTTTAATCTTACTGTATCACCATGTTTAAAATGTTTTATATGACATTGAATATTGATACATTTTATTAAATAGTTATTTTCTATAGTTTCAATATTATTTGTTAAATGTTTTAAATGTGGACAATTTAATATGATTCTATTTTTATATGTTCGTTGTAAATCAGGTATTAAATTTGGTATGAATTTTTGTATGTTTGGAGAATAAGATACTGATAATTTATTGGACTTTTCAATATCTCGTTTAATGCGTTTTGTAAATTTGACAAGTGAATTATTTGCAACTTTTCGTGTTTTTTCATCTAAAATGTAAATGTAAAATGAAAATCAATTGATTGGAATAAGTTTTAGAATGTCATAATGATAATGTTTCATTTCTGTGTTATTAGTTTATACATTACCATTTTATAGAATCAAAACTGTATCTGCTTATTTGTTACTTCTTCAAAGGATTAAGAAACATTCTAACTCTATTGGTTAATACGAAGTTAAATGTTATTTTTA